GGGGGGAGAGAGATGTGATGATGCTAAACTAGGCATGTATGTTTTGTGCGACAACAAAACCCTGGAAAGGGCAATAACTTATCTTTAAAGAGAATCTGTGTGTGTGCGAAAATGTCAGTGTTAGGCAGTGTTAGTTCTCATTGCCTTGGAAAAATGTCAAACTATGACAGAAATATTATAAAAAATACACAATTAATTTGTATCAGAATGTACAAAGCCTCATGAAAGCATGTCAAGCTATTATAAAAATGTCACCAAAAAACGCACCACCAATTCTGCATCAAAGTCAAAATGTATCTGAATATATCTTAAGTTCAACATTCTTTTTTTTGTTTTGTAAGAGGGTTTTACAGCACTCGCAACTGCATAAGGACATATATGAGCGCCAAGGGGTGGGTGTCAACAGAGAAGTCCTTACAGGGAATCAGACTTACTCTGCTCACCTCTCTAGCTTCAACAGCACAAGGTCTGCTTCGACTATCGAGGCATCCCGGAAATACCGGGTCACAAGAGTGACAAACATACAGAAGAAGTAGAGGAAAATGACAAAAGTAAGGATTAGGAAAGAAAAAGCAGCAGTTCCCTGTTGCAGATCAGGCACAGTTATGAGCGTGACATGATGAATCAGCCCATTTACAATTCTACTGTGCTTGATCGAGAAATGTTCCCCCTTTGGGAATGGCCTAAAGACATAAACATAAACCACTGCAAACAGAAAGATAGGTAAAACATAAAAACAATGAATAGATACATGTATGACAAAATAATTAGATAAATAGTAGTTGAGTCAATGCATCATAAGAGAAGGCATAATCTACATCAAGCCATTTTCAACATAATTCAAATCTTCCATACTACCACTCACTCCAAGTTTTTAAAGAAAATTATTCGCGATATCATTTTCATTCTGACAGAAAATATTCTACACCCCAATCAAGAATGTATAGAGCTAATTTAGGAGGTCGGCTGCAGGGCCAATCTCGGCAGAGTGGCAAGCAACAACTCGGCAGAAAGACTGAGATACTCAATAAAATAGGATTCCAGTCTTCCTCACAAGGGATTAGAATTTGGTCTTTGGAAGACAAGTGATCTAAAGCATTACACTACCACAAATGCAAAAGACTTTGAAAACTGGCCCAGAGTCACTCATGGCATTACTTTTCACCCGCTTCTGTTACTTTTAGTTAGTGTGACTCAGCAGCCCACAGGAGTTCCCCGGCTCGGGATCGCGGGGTTAATGAGCCCTGAAGCAACTTTGGCGGTGTCGGTTAAGAAGTTCACATTTTTGTCTATGTTTGAAACGATAAAACTTCTTCCCCATCCCACACAGCAAACCATTACACTAATGTACTAAAAGCTCAATGTCTTGAGATCTATTCTGCGTTAGAATGGTAATTTCTGTGCCTTAGTTTTTGTTCTAGACAAGTGTTTGTAGAGTACCCAATTTGTCCTATTTTAGTTACAAACTTATGAATAAATAATTGTTTATTTAAAAACGGCACGAAAGATCTCTCCAAAATCTGTGTTAAACTGACTACGAATATCATGTCTTTTACCATGAGAAGTCTTAAATCTGCGCAAGTAGTAATAGTCAAGTTATAAGAGAAGAAAGATGCACATCAACATTTTAAAACTAAAGACACTCAGCATTAGCTCTTGTTTTACCATTAAACAAGAGAAAGTTACTATGTGTTTGTTCAGGAATCATGCTGTGTCTGTGGCAGCCTTCATACAACTAAGAAAGATATATTATTTGTAGTTTTTTTTAAACACAAAACTGTGTAAATACATGGGTAGAGATAAACTTCTTGTATGGAATAAAAATAATGGCAGCTAACACAATCATTCTTAGTTGTTGTGTCGGAAATATGCGCAGATACTAAGTGTCTTATGAATGTAAAGAAATCAGAACATTGTCAGTTATTGCAAATGGTCACAAAGACGAAAATAAAAGCTGGAAAAGTCTGGTGCTGATTCAGTGTCACTGGAAAGCTAGAAATTATTCTTATAACCCAATTACGGGAAGTCATCCCTGTTATTCAGTCAACTTACAAAACATAGACTTAGCGTTTTAAGAAAAGTAAGGAATTTCTGGAGTGTAAAAGTCACTGTTCGTGTATTACATTGTAAATGTATTCTGGCACTAAAATCGATTTGTACTTTTTCATTGAGAGACCAGGGTAATTTTTGTAAACTTTCAAAATAATATGTCAATATTCGCAATCATATGAGACACATGGATTTTTGTTTCCATCAAAAGCAAGAAAAATGAACAAGCTTTAAGATGATATTTAAAAAAACTTCATAGGCACAAAAATTTATGAAAATCTAATTCCACCATGTCATGACACAAATACTGTTCTTTATCAACTTGTGTTGTTATTTAAGTAAGAGAGAGAGAGAGAAAATTTCACTAATGACCGACCATACGATAACCAGAAGTTACTACTGCACTATTATTGAAGGACATAAAGAGAAGAAAATGATGGAAAATCAGTCATAGGGACACACACAAAAATAGACTATTTATACCATATCTTTATCAGCTTTCCACCTTCTTCTATCCAATTTTGGCCCAGGGACTGGTAACAGAAAAAGGTATCATCATATACAAAAATCGTATCTAAAAATTCATTTTTGAGCAAATCACTCTATAAATTTATCATTCACGAGCCATGGTGCTTCAAACTGTCACACTACCAAGGAAAAGCTCTACTGTCAATCGCAGGAAAAGTATTAAACTCAATTATCCTAGAGAGCATCAAAAAGACCGCAGACAGATATCCGAGAAAGAACCAAACAGAAAGAATATATCTCATATTAACAAGATTGCGAATCTAAGGGTCATAGCTGAACAATCATTGGAATGGTTCTCCTCACTTCTTATAAACTTTTTCGTCTATGAGAAAGCATTTGACAGCATTCGTCGTGACATCTTATGGAAAATATAAAGACTTATCCAGAGATTGAAGGGCAGTTTATTAAAAGATTCCAGATACACTCTGGAGCGAAACAGGTATCTTGATTTTTTGTTACCATCAATTAGGTTACGAAGGCGACCACAGAACACAGAAAGACAGGAAACCATTGCCCATTATGGACCCACATTGAAGACTTGGGAATTTGCAGATGATCTTGCTTTACTTCCACAGTCACAAACAGATGAAGGAGAAAATGAGAGATCTTGTAAATATCTCACAGATAACAAACAAGATGAAAGATACTAAGGATCAGCAAAACCATAAATGACCAGATTACCATTTTGAAAACACCACAAGAAGTAGTTGATGCTTTCGCTTACTTAGAAAGCATTATAGACAAGGTTATAAAACAAATGTGTAGAAATTAAGACAACAACAGGCAAGGCAAGAGGTGTATTTGCAGAACTAAGAAACATGGAAATCAGGAACTGAAGGAACAAGAGCTAAGACAAGAATTTTTACACCACTGTCAGACGATCACTACTCTATGGATTAGAAACATGGAAACTTAAAAAACAATTTTTAAAATGCTACAGGCATTTGTCAAATTGCTTAACCCTCCTAGTGTCGAAAGCAAATGATATCAGTAGTAGGTTTTGTTTTGTGGAGTCGAAGATGATTTAATCAGCCTTAAATTGAGTCCATAAATAATTCCTTTTGTTTATCCTGCTTTAGATATCACCAAACATTTCAAAGCCTTCGCAAATGAGCTATACTTCCTATGTATACTCTGCTATCTGAAAATGTATAGATTACTTTACTTGCTTGGTTTACCACTTTACCTGTTCCCAATCATTTTCCAGCATAATATGGTGAGATCATATCATTTCCCCTGACACCACAGGATATTTGTTAACAACGCTCGGAGGTTTCATCAGAAAGATCCTAAAAATTCACTGGCCTGATACCATTAAAGAATGAACAATTATGGAAGCAAACAAATATTAAAAAGATACAGAATTCAGGAAGAGACAATGGAGGAAGAGGATTGGACATGCATAGAACAAACCAAAAACAAACATCATCCATCATACCTTAGACGGAATCCACAAGGAAAGAGGAGCACTTAGATTAGACCTAGGAGATGGTATACAGATAAACAGAGACGGAGACTTACAGATGTGTTGAGATAGCCCACAAGAAAAGAAGATGGAGAGCTCTTGTCAGTGACCTATACTCCCGCATGGGGTAGGAAGGAATGATAATGATGACAGTGCATTAGCTTTTTTGACTGACTGAAACACTTTTCTGTTTGAAACAATGACACATAAACAATCAGCAATAAATAGGGAAGAGGTAGCGAAACTGTGAACAATGATAAAACACAGTATATTTTAAACACCTGTAGTTCATCAGCTTAAAAGAATTATTAATGTCAAAAATCTTACGCCTACCCTGTTACTTTCATTTTAATGCCATGACTAAAGACCAGCATTTACATGTATATTGGTAAATAGTAATTAAGACAGAACATAATCAATCGTCAGTTCTAAACAATATCTATCTAATAATAATGTCATCTTTCACTTATGTTGAGAATGGGCAACAGGTAAGCACTGTTTATAATCTCTATTTTAACAGAACTAGTCTGTACTCAAATCAAGGCAAAGAAAAGTCAAACATTCATATAGCCCCATACAAACTGTCCCAAACATTTGGACTAGAATTAATATCTAAAGTAAAGGTAAAAAATGACAATTCCAAGTACTTAAATAAAAGGGCTAATCTAAGAATGGCTAAACGGTACCTATGGAGTTCTTTAAGATGCAATTTATCAGCAGTCAGGAAAGATTTGAAAAAGTCCAAATACAGCCAAACTTCTTATAACAAGAGAGAACTAAAATTTCAGGCTGACAAACAAGCCATGGCACCTCGACCTTGAAGTGTAGAGTAACTACTTCTTCCGTTTCTTCTTGGCAAGTCTGTCAGGGCTAGCTACTCTATCAGCATTTCTACACATCCTGATTTCCTGCACATCTTTACCATCCCAGTTAGTTATTGCAATTGAATATCTAGATCTTTTTGATTGGTTTAAATCAACAGCCAAGGTACCAAGGTACCACTTCTTTAAGCAAGAGTCAATCAGACTGAATTTCTCTTTGGATGGTGAGGCCACCGGAGACAGGGATTCAAATAGATCATCGCTGGAAGACCAGTTTTTACATTTGTTTCGCATCGATACTCTCCGTGCGCTTGTTGGCGCTGTTTTAGATTTTACACTGCTTGAAGGGCCTTTGTCACCGGATTTGTCTAAAGGCGGAGGTGGACTATCGTCATTTCTGAGAGAAAGACAGTATTTTGGACGAGAATTGGGCATGTTTGGTACAGAGACACCACTGGATGAAGAGACCGTGTTGTCACTAATATAAAGATAGGCTTTGCTAACATCATGGGATCCTGGCTGGAGTTCTAGAGACCCACTTGATGTCAGAAATATGAACTGGTTGTCATCCACATCAGAAAAGAGGCTACCACTCCCCTCGTTGCCACCTGACAGTTCATCGCCTTTTGGGGAGGTGCCCTTGCTTCCGGAGAGTTCCTCGGAGTAATTCGGTGATTGAGGATCTTCGGTGTACTTTGAATCTTTTGGACACCTTTTCAAACTAAGTGTACCATCTTCTGCACATAGAGGGAAACCTCCACTTCCAGTATCTTTTTTCCATAGATCCACAATTGGCAATGAGCTGTTTTCATTGTTGTGTATGCTTTTTCTTGAGTAAAGTACTTCTGTAGCCGGCTCTGGGTGTACACAAGAAGAAAGGTGGGCGTTTTTCAGGCAAGTCGAAACTTTAGGAATTGTAGATGAAGAACAATCATCCGGTGACCAGCCTGTGGCAAAGAACAGAAATTTTTTAAAGAAATGTTTACTCGTTGCCACAATTCAAGAAGACAAAGATACCATCAAAATGAAAGGAATATGGTTACTTCATAAACGGGTAACTAAAGTAAACTTGATGCAATGGAAAATTTCATTCGATCTAGTTCATTCTCGTCTCCTTAACTTCTCTTTCTCCATCCCAAATCCCATCTGGCCTCGATATTTTTCATTAAACATCTTAGACCTGGTAATGAAGTTTTTTTTGCCATCCTTTTTTGACTCTTCTACTCATGTTGATGAAACGTTCCATTCCATAAACTCAAACTGATGCGAAAAAAGAGTATGCTGAAGAAGAGCGATTTGAAAAACAAAAGAAACTACAAGTATAAAGAAGTGAAACAAATCAGTAATGCTAAGAAAAAAAAAGGTTCAAAAGTTGTCATTCTACTTGTACTGACATTTAAGGCTTTATAAAGAAACAATGAAGAAGAAAAGTGATCAAATTTTGAATATGTTCAAATTTCCATAATAAATAAAACAATCCACCTCTAAGGCGTTTAGAGACCCATCCTAACTAAAAAGAATGGATGCTTGCAACACATTATAACTGTAATATGATGCATAAAAAAAAAAATCAAAGAGAAAGTAGCCCAGTATCATGCAGTATTACGGCACGGTTGTTCTACCGCTGACTTCCTGGGGTCATAAATCCCACCTGACAGTCAGGCCGGATATTTTCCCGGCCCCCGCGCGGCATTCACATTTGGTCCCGATTTCACTTTCCCAGATTCTTTATGGACAAGTTTTTTTTGGGTTGTTTTAGTAGAGGTTTTACAGCGCTCGCAACTGCATAAGGTCATATGAGCGCCAAGGGATGGATGTCAACAGAGAAGTCCTTACAGGGAATCAGACTTACTCTGCTCACCTCTCTAGCTTTAACAGCACAAGGTCTGCTTCGACTATCAAGGCACCCCGGAAAAAGCGGGTCAAAAGAGTGTGACAAACATACAAAAGAAGTTTAAAAGGAAAATGACGTTTATGAAAGAAAAAGCAGCAGTTCCCTGTTGTAGTTAAGGCACAGTTACAGGCATGACATTGATGAATCAGCCCATTTACAATTCTACTGTGCATTAGAACGAGAAATGTCCCCCCTTTGGGAATGGCCTAAAGACACTTCAGTCAGTAGCACCGCCCCGGGGGGTTTATGGACAAGTGTTGGAAGGGTTTACTACAAGAATGAAAATGGAACACACACGGAAACTACACCATGAGTATTTAAAACATCTGTGTAGAACATTCAGGGCAGAAGTAAAAAGGCAAAAAAGGCAAACCAGAGCAGATATTTCTGTGTAAGTTTTAAAAATGACTTACTCGTATTCTATCGCGTAAACATAGACTACGATAGTGCAGACACACATCCCTGTGAATTGTGCAACAAATGCGTACAGTGTATATACCGCTTAAGGAAACAAATTCAAGAAGCAACCCTATCTGCTGCACACACAAAAAATTGAAGGAAGTTTGCATACCTGGACACCTTACCACAGTCAATCTCTGATAGGAAACCACTGTCACCAATACTTGAAACGCCTAGTATACACAAGCATCACAAAAGACATTTGCACACATACACACAGCAGCACTTAAGTTATATCTAACCAAAACATCATAGATGCAGCCCACGCAATCAAGACAAAATCTGATTTTTTAATAATAAAAATAATAATAATAGATAGCATTTGTATAGCGCATATCCCCGCTCAACAGCAGGCTCTATGCGCTTTACACTATATTATTACCCCAGCAGACCATAGAACACTCCGAAACATTCTCAGCTTCCCGGGAAGCATACAGTGCGAGGGGCCGATTAAGCGCTCAAACACTAACAGACTGACAAGATCTTTCGCGGTCTATAGCCGGGTACCCATTCCCACCTGGGTGAAGTGAGGAAAATTCGTGTAAAGTGCCTTTCCCAAAGACACAACGTCGGGTCCCTGACGGGATTCGAACCCACGACCTTACGGTTGCGAGTCCGAGAGCCTAACCACTAGGCCACTGACGTTTTAAACAACAGCTATGCTGAAGTACACCACCTCATCTCTTACACGCATTAAAAAAAAAGAAACTGAGTTTGACATTATAGGAACAACAATTTCTGCATATTTGAAGCTGTACAGACATCTATTTCCAAAACACAGTCACACCCAAACAACACATTATAGCACCACTGTCTGCCGTTTATTAAAAGATAAGGATTTGGCCTGGGTTTAACGGGCGAGCAGGGTGGCAAACTTGTGCACTCCAGTATCGCAAAACTGGAGAAGACAGTGGGAATTAAAGGAAAAGGGAAAAAGGGAAACAGTTGAAAGCTGTTATTGAGGCCCACAGACTGCAAAATGTGTCTACGCTTAGGCAGCAGCTTGGAAGGGAAAAAAAAGAGGAAGACAACTAGCTTCTGAACATAAAGACACTTTTGCAATTATTGTTATGAGTATTCATATGGTATGTGCTTGTGAATATGAAAGCAGCTCTAGCTGTGAGAATACAACGAGGAAATTCTAGTTTCATGAAATGGATAGCAGTGAATCTTCTACAAGTTCCATATTTCTGAAAACTGTGAGAAGACTGCGAAAAATCTTTCGTTTCATTAACCGAACAGCAGTAAATCTTCTACTACAAGTTCCCCATTTCTGAAAGAATCAAATCAAAAGCGTTTCTGAAAGCTCATCATGTCACTATTGTATACCACTGATTATTTTAGCAATCTGGTATACAAAGTTTAAAATATAATTTTTAAAAGAAGACCCATGTAAAAATGTTCCCCTTAGATGCCCTCAATTGCGCCCATGTTTTAAAGGGTGCCCTGCTAAGAATATCAATAAAAAGTAATTTGCTGCACAGTCCAAGAATGCCTCTATCTGTCGATAATAATTTCACATTGATTTGTTTATGGGAAAAGCCACAAAGAAGCAATTATACTGTACAAACAGTTCATCCGCAGAGCAAAGGTCAAAGTGATCTCCATGACCACCCGGGTGTGGCATGGTTGATCGGGTCAGTTCCTCAGATAACTAAATGCTCCGCTCGGGAACAGCCGTGACGGCTCAGGTGACTCTGGTTTGAGAATGAAAAAGAGCATTCTTGACCTAAGGTTGTTCAAAGAATTTGAAGAACTCTTTATCCACATCATCAAAGATTGTGATGAATCCAAGGGGACCATCACTTCAGTAAACTTAGTGTTGAAACAGGTATTGAAAAACTTTAACTATATAATACTACACCAAATGAGTGTTCAGAAAGTCAATAAACAAACCTGGCACAGCTTTGATAAGCTTTACTTGTGAATCACTCGCGACTAAACCATGGAGTGTTGTCTCATTCATGAGCTTACAACGTTGATAGGAAAAATCATTTGGGCTGTCCGAATTCCTCCTCTCTGCAAATAACAGATCAATGAAAGGAAATTACACAATTCAAAAGGAAAAACAAGATCTGAAAAAAAAAAGAAAAGAAAAGCAGTGAAAAGGACTGAGTACAACACACAGAAGATAAATTCAAAACTCAACAGAACACAATCACATCATGAGTGAGCATCTGTTGGCCAGGCCCAGCGCCTGCAGGTATGGTGAACATTGCTTTAACCAAAAACAGTTTATCAAAAAAGAAAACAGAATCTACAATGTTCTTTCTTCATCTTTGTAAGAAAACTTTGCTGGTGTACTGTTTGCATACGTCTGCCACACCTATCAATAAGCCACCTAATGACAAAAAGAAATGAACGCAATCTGTCGCACTACCTTCTGTGAGTCATGGCTTATTGCTTCCACGAGAAGTTAGTTCACATGTACATGAGCATGTTTTCATGGCATCACTGGTCTTCTCACTTCTAAATTCTTAGCGCAGATCACAGTGCAGAATGGAGATTCACTCTTGCACCTATTCTGTGCGACTGTTCAGCAGACCAAGCAAGCTGACAATGTCAAAGAGAAAGTGCAATGTGTATACCCTAATACTTCTCAAATTGTAGTTACTGAAAGAGGTGGCTAAGAAAGTTTTCCACATGTGAAATTAAGCACAAATTCCCAAGTTTACGCTGTCAACTATCATCGTTGGGAGAGAAACAATTGAAAAGGAGAAGAGCAGTGATTTTTTTTCACGCCCTCTGCGAAGAAAAGACATTCTGATCGCATTTTTCAAGGCAATCTGCCTGAACCGAAAAAATACGACCAAACAAACAAAAATCTGAAATTAAGTCCTGCATTGGAAAGACACACGCTGCATTTTTATCTTTGAATAGGATTTGGAGAACCAGAAATATCTTGCTTTGAACAAAGTTGAGGATTTTAAACTCAAATGTGAAGTCAGTGTCGGTGTATGTATGTGACCCATGGAACACATCTCAGACTTGAGTAAAGAAGATCCAGGTTTTCTTGAACAACTGTCAGAGAAAGTTGCTCAGGTTCAGATGGACAGACAGGGTTACCAATGAGGAAGTGTTCAGAAGAACTAGACAGAGCCCAGTAGGAAATGAAGTGGGAAGAAGGCAGTGGTAATGTATTGGACATACTCTTAAGAAGCCAGACAGCTGTTTAACAAAGAAAGTGTTGGATCGGAATCCGTAGGGTAAGAGATAAAGGGGAAGGTCACCTGGAACCTAGAGAAGAGTCACAGAAAATGATGTACAGAGAAATTGGAAAACACAGAAGAACAAGAAATCAAGAACCTGGCTCAAGATGGGGAAAGGTGGAAAAAGATGCAGGGGGAGAAAGGCAGTGATGAAGATAAAAAATCTGGCAGTCCCACAGATTTCAGTTATAGTGATCTTCATTGTAGCTGTAGCTTGACCAGGATTAGACCTCATATCGGAGGTCAGGTTGGCTGACATGTAAGTGATCTGGAGTGGAACTGCCAAACGAAATTTACAATTTTTAGTAAAAATTTGTAATAAGTAACATAAATTCAAAATGCTTGGCTGCTCTGCACTGCTTCAAAGTTTCAATACAATTTTCACATTGGAAACATACCTTGCTTAGCTACTAATCACATACCAGGTGCAAATTTAATATTCTGCATCAGGGAGTCACCTGCAATAAGACTGCCGACAGTTGCTGACTGTTTTAGTTCATGCTTTTGACTTGACAGACGACAGGGAGTATCTAAATGCCTTCCTCCTACGAATGACCAATAAGTGGAATGACTTTCAATAACAGTGAAAAAGACATACGGCTGCAGGCATAAATATTGGGTACCAGAAACTAAATTTTCAAAGTAGCTGTATGCCAAATTTATCCGTTCCATATGAAAGGTCTATATCTCCTGAGAATTTGGGTACCATTCTTTAACCTCTCAGTCAATTTTTAAGAAAATGTTAGCTGTTTAAAATTAGATCAAATTAGTTAAAAGTCGCTCACTGGCTGCAACCCCACGTTTGAGGTACTAAGTTTGTCTAAGTGCACCAAACATCTCCACATTAACAGAGTACAATCACTATAACATAGATATGGAGCCTAACTTTTTTCAAAGACTGTAAGATCATTACAAATCAGTATTTTATCGCCGCAAACATGATGCTCTGTCGTTATTTCGACAAAAAACAGCGAGCGTTCACCCGGCTGCCCCCCCCCCCCCCACGAGCGAGTCGACTCTATACAGTAGGGTACCGAGTGCTCCCTGCGTGAGGGGCCACATTCTTTCCGAGTTTCGCGGAAGGACTGATGAAAAATAATTCCGAGCCGATTACTTTTTTCTAATAGAAAATGAACTGATCTTTCCATTGGTATCCTTTTTGAGCCGGTATTTTACATATTTTGTGCCAAAAATTATCTTTGAAAACTTTGATGGTATTTTAAAAGGCTTTCAATTTAAACGGCAAAGGCCAATAATATACCACGGGAAAGCCCGCCCAAAGCTCTACAGTTGTCTGCAAATGAAAAGACGGTCGGTATTTAATCATCAATCTTTCCGCAAAGCATTAGAATGCACGCGTGTCAATTTTTGAACCGACTGACCATGCGTTCCAACAGCGAGGGGCTTCACTTTCCACGGCGATTCTCCAGCTCCTAATAATCAGACATATAAACAACTTACACCTTTGGAACGAGAAAAAGCTGAAATTTAACAAGTTGTACAGCACTTGGTGTTTTATAGCGAAAGAGCAAAGAAACAGCAATCTGAATTACCCCGATTACACCTATGCCCACACTCAGAAAGCTATGAATAAGTGATGGAAGAGGAAAGCACATCAAAACAGCAGTATCGAAGACAAGATATGAAATACCAGAGAACAATTCATTAGAAAAGTTATTAAAATTCATGGCCTGGAAATAGTAGCATTCTTGTAATGAAAACTTTTTCAAAAAGAACTAATAAGTCTTGTACTTTCAAAATTCAGTATTTGACAGCTTGATACGGACTATTAAAAGAAGTGAGCATTGTAATATTTTCTGAAGGTGGCTGGCACAGAAGTACATAATGCATTGGGATTTCCCAAAGCATGTGAAATTCTTGATATTAAAAAAAATGTTCTTCACAGATGTCATACCTGAGGCAGTAGTGTGCAATGTTTCACTCGGCTCATCCCTGACTTTTGTTTGCCTGACCTCAGAAGACAGCATTTTTGAAAGCCCCTCTTGTCTCCTATTCACTTCACAAGAAATCACTGGACCGACTCTGTGGTTCTGAGATTTTGACTGCAGCTGTGTTTTCATCTCTGTCGTTTCTGACTCCGTAGGAATGTCTGCTTTCTGGTTCAGCTTTTTACACCTAAGTTTAGATGATTTACTAAAAAGAATGTTGGTGTTCTTTGCTTTTCTTGAGATGCTTTGAAAATCCTCGCTGCTACTTCTCCGCCCTTTCCCACTGTCTTTTCTGCCAGCCTGTCTGTTGTCTTCAGCATTTCCATTTGCACCTGTGGTGGAATCAGGCTGGCACTGCAAAGATTTAAGAGACAAATCATCTCCAAGGGTCTTTAATGGTTGACCATTTATTAGCTGAAAGGCACGAACTGGTGTCTCTGTAGACATCGAGCGTACTTCCGCCCGTGGTGTTTGCATTTTCATTGGTGAAAGGCAGCGCTGGTTACCTTGGGATGTCTTGTGCTGCATTTCAAGACGACGCAAAATCACATGAGGACTCTTTTCAAGCACAAGAGGGGTATTAGATGGAGTTTTATGTGCCAAGTCTGGAGAATCGTCAACCGAACCATGTACCTCAGCAGATGTACCCAATATACCTGTCTGCTCACTGCATGCTTTTCTTGGTATTATAACTAACTTTTGTGCAGCTAGTTTCTTGAGTGGTGCAATTTGAGCATTACTGACCACTACTTGCTCAAAGTCAACTTTGTCGGTTGATGCTGTATCCATTTCAGAGCTGTCACTGTCTCGTCCAAGCATATCCAGAAGTTCAGACAAGTGTTCATTGCTATCTGTCAAACTTCCACTGGCTGATGGCAAAGTATCACTGTGAAGAGAGTGCATTAGTGCTTATTAAAACTACAAGCAAAGGTTTGAAAAGTTTACATACACAATGAGAATGTTATTATTTTCACATCAAGAATTCCAATAATGCAGGAAGCACATTAACTGACAATAAAAAGCTTAAAAGGGGCTGTGTCCTGACCAGGTGATTAACCCCTGTCCTATACTGTGTGCATACTTAATAATTTGCTGCAATATATGCTGTCGGCATACCTGGTATACCTTAAACCATGTTTTGTTTCATTCATATCTTCTCTTCTACACACTTTTGAATGAAGAAAGTTATATTCTCGTCTCTATAGTTCTCCTGCCGCAGCAATCCTGTCTTCTTTTAGGCTGTTATGTGCTGGAATCGAATGTGATAGTGTCTAAAACAAAGAGAGGCATGTAATGTGTTGCGAGCAACAGACAAAGAAAGCCAGTAGGAGTGTGTCTCTCTTTTTTTCTTTTCTTTTTTTTTTGGGGGGGGGGGGGGGGGGATTATGTCTTGTGACTATAGTTACTGTTTTATAACTGTGACATTGTTTTCTTGGATGTAAGAGACCTGATTGTCATTTCAAGTCACTTGGAGAACGTTTCAATGGTAAGGATGTACGAGAACTGAAATCATTTCAGGTAAAAAAAAAAAATGTTTCTCACTTTCATCTGACAAATTATCATGCAGGATATATTTAGCTGGAAAATATTACTACCAATACTGGATTGTATATTGATTTTTCTTTTATTTGATATAAATTGTCCACATCTAGTGCTTCTAGTAAGCAAACTATCACCCTTCAAAGAAATTAACAATGCCAGATGGAGCCTCTGGGAATTTTCCTAGCACACGCACAGGGGAGGAACTTATGGCTAGCAGGCAAGGGGTTAAAAAACACAGTGCAAAGATCAGTAAAACTTAAGTCACAAGCCACACTATGAAAAAAAAAAGAGCCGCACTATTAGCAGAGCTCTATGAAGATACACTAAACAGAGTACGTTCTATGCCGATATTGTGAAAAGACAACAGGTTTTTAAAAAAAAATACAAAACTGGTTTCCTTGCTACTTACTTTGCTTTCGCCACACGTGCTTCAAGAGCTGATTTCACACTGGGCAAACTGTTCCTGGAATGAAATAACAAAACATGATGTCATCCACACATTAGAACGATAAAAAAAACAACCCAACACTGATCAATGTCTTGACACAATGTTGTCATTACTGAAAGCCACTATAAGACTATTAGAGAGCAGTGGATAGACTAACATGCAAATAAATGTTTTTCACTGTCAAAGCACGACTACACATACAAAATATATGACTATACATAGGGAGAGTGCTTTGAATTAACACTTTTGATCATCAGCCAGAGCTTTACACTTCAACATCTTATGTCAATACTAACCAAGACGCAGAATTCTTTAAGGCACATCGGATGGGTAACTTCCACTATTTTCTTTCCTAAGTCTTTGAAAAAACGTGCATAGAATCTCCGAAGTAACATTTCAAAATGTTGGTCATAGCAACCTCTGTAGCAGTAAACTCCACTGAATCTTCTCTCCATCAACAAAGTTAATATGACACAATTTAGGCTACCCCTTCTTAACTCTATGTTAAACTGTCGGCAGTTTCAACCCTTTGATTCATTCTTCAAATAAATAAGTTGAACAATCAGAGTTTGCACACAAGCAAAGATAAAAACTTGGAATAAGAGACCAAAAATTTCTTACACATTAGGAATCTCACTATCTGTAGACTCATATGCCACACTCTGATAGTCATCAATCACCATGAGGAACTCCAACTCATCATTCTGTCGAACAAAAAAAAATGCCTCTCAACACATCTGTGAGTAAACAAATTAACCCCTAAACTGAGTTAACAAACTTGCCATAACATGCTGGTACAATAAGCAATTAAACATATGAGCATCATCAAATGGGAGAAGGAGAAAGTACCTAAAACCAAGCATTTTTAGAAGGAAATTAGGTGAACCTGTCAATTTCAGCTTTTAACTTGATGTTACCTTGAACTGACCTATGATCAGCTCCACAGCAAATTTTAATCAGAATAAATTCTTCGATATGTTCTTCCCCGTGACTTTACTATAGCACAGTGCCACTCATATGAAGCAGACTTGTGTAAGTTAAAATTATTTTTTAAAAATCATAGCACAAAAGTGATTCGCAACGTCTGGATCATAAAAGCAAGCATAGCATGTAAGTCCATTTTTTCGGCGAAAAACACGAAGGAAATATTCAATAAACAGTAACAATAATGAGTTACTTTACAAATAAAAATTTGACTGGCAGAGGGCTCAAGTAAAGACTTTGAGAAGAATAACAATTACATGAATGGCAGAATATTTAAATAACCACCACCAAATATCATTCTCTTTTTCTCTCTCCCTGGCCTTGTCTCTCATTCTATCTCTCCATCTACCTCCTCCAAAACAACCATACATCGCCTCCTCAAATAAATCCCATTCATGTGAGAAAGCTATTCTTTCATTTCTTATCTTTATTGACGTAGTGATGAAGTAAGTTCTATAGCATTTACATCAGCACAACATTTTTAAAAAAAATTGTGCACATTACTTTAACCGCTTCACTGCTACTCGGCGTGCAATGTATGTCCATATATCAGGCCTTCCAATGCGCTATAGACGTAGAGTACGCCCGGCAATATTTTGTTTCCCTTCCTACTCAGCCGGTAACTGCAATTTAATATCGAGAGTGGGCTCCCCTGAAATCTCTTTTCTTCCCAAGTTAGAGAAGATTTACTTTGCCCTAGTTGGACCAACAATGACCGAAATAGCGTGAAATATAGTGTCACTGAACAGTCACTCTCTCTTCACAGTTCTAGCGTCTCGTTCTAGCTCCGAGCTATGGCTGATCACTCGTGGTGTATGCTCTCAACGTATCAAACTATCGAAGAAATTTTTGCTGATGATGATAGCGGTTCATTAATTTCCCTTTAAAATGATATAGACATTGTTATGCATTTGATGCATTACCACAGAGAAAATAGCACATTAAAAGGATCACCCATTTTGAGTGCTATTCCTGGAAACAAGGTCAGCATAAGGCGGGGAATATAGGTCAGTAGAGAAGGGGTTGAATAGCAAAATGAAATCTTGCTTACATTGTTGTTCTCTACGAGTGTAAAAAGCATGGTAGAGTAAAAAAGATGGACATCTTACAGTTCACTAACTCACTTGAGCCTATTCCCGCGCATTTACGGAATGCGCCGCTGGCCCGTTGGCAGAATCCTGAGTATTAACAGGATGCGCTAAATCAATCGATATCTCTGGTGTTTTTTGGTAACAATTGTTGGGAAGTGGCGAGCCAACAGTCGACCCACTTGTTTTGTTTCATTAAAAATTTGGTGAACCTTTTGAGCAGTAATGGACTACTCAGTCATCACCCCATTACGACAGATGATTATTTTGTAAATTGGACGCAAAATAAATTTGTGTAACCTCAGACATTGCCAGTTCATAATAATGATAAAATTACCACTATTTTGACAAATTAGATGCAGTTTTCTTTTTCTGTGAGAGCATTTTTCTTTCTTTCCTTTTTTTGCATTAAAAAAAATATGACAGCTTTCATAGGTTTTTTTTTGGTTAACGATTCACTATACCCCAAAACTGTCGGGCTGCAAAGGCTGTTGGGTGAAAAATAGCTCAGGCTCAAGTGAGGTAAAGTGTAAAAGAAAAGCAAGGGGGCAAATGGGAAATGGCGGTTTGTGCAGGTGAAACAAAAGTTGACCCAACAAGCTTCGCAGGTTTGAACTAAACTTACTTCAAAAGCTAAACATAGTCCCTCAAAGTCAGAAAGCTGCAACGGACAAATGTAGGAAAAACATTAAACAAGGCATAGAATTTTTAAATTCTCAAATAACCGAGATCAAGCCTTAAAGGAAACTCACATTCCATTCATGTCTCTTTTTACAAGCACCTTTTTACTAGTATCAGAACAACTCTGTTTAGCAAATTTTTTAAAAATCTTTACTTTTCAAGTCTAGAGGTACAGTGTTCGCCTCTCAGTCAAAAGATCCTGAGGTTGTAACCACACAGAGGCAAATATTTTTTCTGCTCTAAAATTTCTTTCCTTCTCCTTTCTGTTCTGACATTTGCTTATACCTTAACTTTCTCCTCCATCCCCTTCCCCCACCACAAATACAAAAACACATCATCTTCCTAAACGAAAACCTTTGCTTTTTAAAATTTCCTTTCTACTGGTCTGCATCAGCGAAAAGAAAACCCTTGCTCCTTTACAAGAACTAACAAGTAACTGAATTTCACAACCTCCCATTCATCTGTGCTTCCAAAGGCATAAAAGGTCTTTTCAAAGGTCAATAAGTAAAAAAAACGCTAAAAAAAAAACAACTAGAGAAATGTCTATTGTATCAATATTGGTACTTACCCCTGTTGCCATTAGGCTGTAGCTGTAAGAGCCCAGCTGGATAACTGTGCCAGTTTCCGGAGCTTGAGATGAACTGAAATAAAAACACAAGAGGAATATGTGAGGCATCGTAGTTAAATCAGGCTCTCGTCAAGATAATAAAATTGAAGAAACTGGCATTTGTCCGCCGGTTTGGCAATTTTTATGGAATTTCGTTTTTTGGATCAACACCTTATATGTCCAATTAAAAACATATTTCTGCATGGAATTTACTGAAAAATGTTGATTAATTACTTTAAATTTTTCATCCTCTGTTGATGTTAAGCATTGAGGGGAGATGCAGTTTTCTATGGTAGGCCAGCTCCGCAGCTCTTTCAGTTATGATACTATGTTTTCTCAGGGTTGCCTTTTATACTCTCCATCCACCTTTTGCGTGGCCTTCCTCTTCCTTTATAGCCTGAGTGCTTGGTGTTGTAGGCTCTTGAGGCTGGTTGGCCAGGTGAAATACGTGACTTTCTATGTAATGCAGACAGGATTCAATGCTGGTGGCTGCTCTTACTTCTTCATTTCTCTGCCTGTCTCATCTTGTGATGTTAAGGGTTTTGCGGAGACATTTCATTTCGCATGCAGTGATTTTGCTTTCATGGGTTTTACTTAAGGTCCAGGTCTGGCACTGGTAACATAATGTTGGTATGAATATTGAGGTGATAAGCTGCTTTTTTGTGTCCATGGAGATATTTGGATGAGATAGGAGGGGTGCAAGCTGGTAGGAGACAGCGTTGGCTTTTTGGGTTCGCAATTCTATTTCTCTGTGTATGGACCCATTTTCACAAAAAGTACAGCCAAGACATTTAAACTCCTTCTCCTGTTTCAGTTGTTTACTATTGGCATGGATGTTCAGGGGACTACGGTTTCGGCTCACTTTCATAACTTCTGTTTTTGATGTGCTTATTTTTACGTTAAATTTTTCGCTGCTGTTGTTCAATTCGGTACAGCGATTTTGGATGGTCGTCTGTGAACAGAAATTCATTTAGGCTTTCTAGGCTCTGGTATGCGTCTTGCGTTATTGTGTCCATATATATTATAAACAGGAGGGGAGATATAATGCATCCCTGTCGTACTCCAGATCTTACTTTGAACCTGTCTATACTGCCTTCCTTCGTTCTTACTGAGCTTTGGCTGTTGGTATAAAGAGCTCTAACATTATCTTACATTTGTCCTCTGACGCCATACTTTTCGAGTGTCTTCCAGAGTTTTACATGGTTTACTTGGTCAAAAGCCTTCTCCTGGTCTATAAAGATGACCTTGGATTCTTTGTTGCGTTCGATTGTTTTCTCACATATCTGTCTTAATGCGAATACAGCATCCCTGTATCCTTTTCCCTTTCGGAATCCAAACTGAGCGTGGCTCAGATTTCTGTCTACAATAGGTCTTATCCGCTGTTCAAGTATCTTTGCGTATAATCGTATATTTTCCCTAAGTGACTTAATAAAGAGATGCCTCTGTACACTGTGCGGTCCCATTTGGTGCCTTTATTTTAACAAATGTGGATTAAAAGCACAAAAAGTTTAAATTTTCGGTTTCTAAGGACCCTCAAGCTGTGTGAGTCACTAAGCTTTAGCAGCCATTTTCTCAATAATTTTTTTTCTTCTGAAATCAGGCGACCCCACTCATTTAATTGCAAATATTTCAACTTCTATTTGTTAGAAGTATATTTTTTTCATTAAAAGACAGACAAATGGACAAGCTATAAGATGATATCAATAACTCCATATGCCCTAAAATTGAGGAGTGCCTGATTCCACCACGTCGTGAGACATGTTCTCAAGAAATAATCTGTCCATCAATATTGATGACTAAAGCAGTACGCATGATACAGCTCTGCTTGAGCGGTAAACATGAAAGAGATTACCCAAGCACTACTCTTGACTTCCTTGATATTCTCCTATGGAGCATAGGTCTCAACTCAGAATTTTTAAAAAGGAGGAACTTTCCGCATGATCGCGACAGAAGCTCATTTTCGCGAGACACCCACTATAATTATACCGTTGGACCCTAGAATGTTGAAGTAAAAACCATCAATTTATCAAAGCAAGGTTATTTCATACCAGTTTGAGGGTTTGGAAGATAATTTCAAGTAAGAGTCACTTACCAAATATTTACAACCTTGATTACGTACAGAAAGTGGTGGCGCACTGTGGTCTTGTGCGATTTATATTTTACATTCATCATATTCGCCTGCATATATAAACTTTATAAAAATGAATCTTGTTTTGAGCCTGAGAAAAGGCCTTCAACCAGAATATCGACTGTCATGAACCAGTCTGGGTGTAATGATTCATATAATAAACGTGAAAGACAAAATTAATGCTCAAACTCAAAGTAGAGTAATAACTTGAATAGTCCAAGTAAACCTATTCAGTGTGAGAGGTGTAAAAACTGTGGGAGGGCAAGATGCAGTGACACTGAAAATCTGCGAATCTTGAACAAAAAGCTAAAATATAGAGACATAATTTACTGTCACCCATCCAATGAAACGCGAAGACTTAGGCCCCTGCCCTAAGTTCATTAACACGCTTACGAGTAGTTATACACAAGGCATGCACAAACATGCACTTTACTTTGCAGAGAGCTGTAGTAGATATAGTAATCAAAATTCTAAATACTAAAATTTGCTTCCAATTTCTTTTCTTTTTTTGTCCTCTGGTGTTGCGTCCAGCCCTCCCCCAACCCCGGAGTGTATCTTTTAAAAAAAATCAATAATCTCACCCCATTCCGGAGTCCTGTACTTCACAGCGCTCAAAACGCGCGCAGGTTCATTGACCGGTCACAATGACGAGCCCGACAAGACGCTTGCATAACTTTTTTCTTTTTGCCCCCACAAGCGACAGCACAGTGACGAACATTATTTTCATGGCGACACCACGTTTGTAATGCGGAACCTGCATATTACAAATGTTGCGATATCAGACTTTTACAGACAAATTTCTGAGACCTTGATTTTCCAGTCGAGCCTCCGTGTTACATACAATTCCGCTTGCCGCCATAGCCGCCTGTTCGCGTGAAACGTATTCTCAGACCGGGAAAAGCCGAATTAATATCACAATCGCGACCAGCAAAAATGAACTTAAAGACGTTATCGGATTTGGTTTTCAAATAATATTCGAGATCTTTTAAGTACTTTCCCGCTTCTCTGCGATTTTTTTCAAATTCCCAGGTAATTCCTGAGGCCTGGCAGTCACTCTGCTCCGAGCAACTCTCTTTCTGATTGGCCTGCTGTTGAGGTAGCGAAGTCTAGCGGAGGAAATGGCGGTAGCGGAAACATAGTCACTATGATTGAGATCAAGGAAGTTTTAAGGGAAGTCATTAATTACAAACAGACCAAAATGATACATTTATCTTTAAAAAAAAGACAAAAACAGAACAAAACTATTCTTCCCCCAATTTAAATCATAAAACAAACTAAAAAAAAAAATCTCTAAACAGGCTGCATTGGCAACAATCGATGATTACACTTACTTTAATTTGCCAAACACATGATGTGAGATGGGCTGGGTATTGCAAATGATGATGAAAGACAGAATTTTAAGAAAATCAAGAGGTATGCAGTACTGAAAATGCAAGAAGAATGAGTGAGTGGTTGAATTTTGGTTCATCTGCATGCAGTAAAGTGTACTGATGCATATCCAGGAGAATGGATAAGGAGTGACACAATAGCAATTTTGGTGAAACTGGTAAGAATACAGTTCTCAGAGGCTAGATAAGAATAAAAAATACATGTATACACACCTTCCAACAAAAAAAATTGAAGTCTAAAGAAAAAAAATAGAGTTGTCCAGGTTTTTCATAAGTAGCAAACTTTATCCTTTAGTCAGCTATAATGTTTATTTTAACCTGTAACAAGTCCGAACAATTAAATCAGTAACGTAAATGTGCCCCTGTAAGTGTGAATATAATTTCTAAAGTTGAAAGAGGGAAAAAAAGTAACTGAACTTGTAGGATTAAAATAAAAGAAAGAAAGCAGCATTACTCAAATGACAGCAATAAAAAAAGAGCAGATATTTTGGTGAATGTGATAGAGGAATCTATATATAAGAGGACAAAGTTGTTAAAGTCGAAATTGCTTGTCGGTCGGTGTAAGAGTCTGAGTTTGTTGGTGGGTCAGTCTAAAACTTACCTCTGTTGACTGCCCTGAGACCATTCTTCACTAAAGATTCGGATCATAACATGGCCATCACTTAGGTACAAACATTCTTCATCCTGAAAATAACAAAACAAAAAAAGAAAGAAGTTTGCTTCTCCCCTTGACATGATAATATAATACTAATAAATAGCATTTGTATTGCGCATGTCCCCACTCGAAAGCAAGGTCTATGCGCTTTATACTATATTATTACCCCAGCAGACCATAGATAGAACACTCAGAATTCTCAGCTTCCCGGGAAGCACACAGTGCAAGTAGCTGGTTAAGCGCTCAAACACTAACAAACTGACAAGATCTTTCACTATCTTATCACTGCAGTCGGAACATGCCCATCTCTGCTCTCCCCCCCTCTTCAGGATCCATCCCAGAGTCTGTCTACTTATAGTCTCCATCATGATCTGGTTGGAGATCCGTCGGTCTGGTCCGCACAGATGGCTGTGTTTCTCCTCTTCTCTTTGGATCCCCTTCTCCTTCAATCTCCCTAGAGTGTGGGAACCGCTATCCGCCCTATTCTTCCTCAAATTTTCCCTTACAGCGGTTAGGACGGTTGGTGGGCCCAGTGTCAAATTCCCTCCCACTTTTGCTTCTCCAGCCAGCTTGTCTGCTCTCTCGTTGCCTGTTACCCCCGCGTGACCCGGGCAGAGGATCCAGGCCACTCTTTCCAGGCTGCTCTCCCTGATCATAGCCCTCCCGCTGATGTTGGGCAGGTATGACCAGCGTGTTTTGGGGCTGTTCAAATATAATCGTACACATTTTTGGGGATTTTTGCCCCCCCCCCCCCTCCCCTTACACTTTTCTAACATTTTCCTCCTTCTCCCCCCCCCCCCCCCCCAAAAAAAAAGTAAAAATCCCGTAGTACCAATATTTATTCACTTATAAGAATATTATACATTTATATTGCGCAAACCTGTGTTACAATCATTGGTCTATGCGCTTTACTTTCACATAATAGTATAGTATTCATGGAAAACATGCATACACACATGTGACATAATAACTAAATATGGTATAAGCGGAACTTTTCCGGAAAAACTTGTAAGTGAATAGCAGAGTTTACTCTTTTTTATGTCATGTTTTGTTTTAAAAAAATTATGTTGTCATGGATTATATTCCTTGTTATTTTTTCACCTTACAAAAGTGTAATACATTGGTTCAGGACGACCCCCCCCCCCCCCCTTCCCCTTTCTTACACTTTTCTTTAACAGGAGTCAAGACACGCCCCCCCCCAACCCCCCCTTTTAGGCCTTTTCCAGGCGTAAGATTATATTCAAACGACCCCTTTAGGCATTTTCTGGATGAATCGATCCATGTCTAGATCTACGACCCTCCTGGCCTAAGATTTAAAGTTAAAGTCTTTCACAAATGTTTATATTAGATCTAGATCTATCTATCTGGTGCTACGGAACCAAGCAAGCTAAGTAATCAGACAATCGTGTGTACGATTGAGTTCACTCTATACTATAGATATCTAGATCTAGAGTTTAGATTTAGCTAGATCTAGAAGAAGTAAGAAGATGATTCAGTCCAAACAGGACTATTGGGGAGGTCACGTCGGGACGGGTCGGTTTGCTCGACAGACAGATGGCGCAAAGTGGCTATCGTGGCACAAATCAATCGCGCCCGACTCGTTGCCTCAAAAACAAACGCGTTGTTTTCAGGCAACGAGTCGGCGATCATCCCGACCCGATCTCATCCACAACGGGCACTCCGTACAGTGGAACTCGGATTTAACAAGCTCGGATTCAATGAGAACTCGGATTCAACGAGATGAGATAGATTCCCCGTTCTTTTCATTCTTTAAAATCAATAAAAGTAACCCGGATTCAACGAGCACTTAAATCAGCGAGCTCGGATTCAACGAGGTCGCTTCCAGGGTGAACAGCCCCCGCAGACGTGGCTTCGCTAATTTTTCTCCCAGAACAAACTTTATCTATTCCCAGAAACCATCCATTGCACCTGCATCATGAACCATTATTCACTTAGCCGATTGCATGCGACCAATCAGCGGTCTTCTTTCATACCAACACATGCGTTGTGGAATGCACATATGGAATTATTCAGAATTGCATTTGGAATAAACCTATACATGTCTTGGGTGGTACTTTTTGAGTAAATTCACCAAAAAGTAGTGATTTTGGGGAGAACAAAAATATTTCGACTAAGATCTAGGCCTAGATCTAGCACTCAAAATATTGATTTCTCAATTACAGTGCACTGGCAATTTGAGTCCAGTAGTATCAATATTATAAAGAAGAGTCCTAAACTTCTTTAGTGAGCAAAATAATGATACATTTTGTTGTGTAAAAGTACTAAGACTGGTGTCTGGGCTAAAATTTGGGCTTCGCGATAAAACAATGTCGCATAAACTTCGAAATCGTGTTTCAAAACTGAATCAAAACTTCCGATTTTCGGTGGAAACGCTTGACCCGGAAGTCTACTTTATATTATGACCTTTATTTTAACATGGATATGTGGATTGGAATAGAAACCAAGCTAAAATTGAACGTCGGTTCTCGAGCCGCCGGGGGCGGCTTAGCGTACTGACGGCACTTTAGCCGCGCCGTCCCCCACGGCTCGGCGTAGCGAATGAGTTAACATATTGCATTCAAATGCAATTGTGTCACGATGCAGTGGAATCAGGTGCTCGTCAATTTTGGGGTATAGGGGTTATTGGAATAATCTTCAAGCCTGTTTATTTGTCTTTCTTTTAATTAAAAAAGTAGCCACCTATCTTGAATAGAAATCGAGATATTTGCAATTGAAGGAGGTGGGGGTCGCCTTGTTTCAGAGGTAAAATCAGCAAGAAAATGGGTGCCAAAGTTTAGTGACTTTCACAGCTTGAGATTTCTTGGAAATTTCAAACATTCATTTTGTGGTGGTAATAAACAAGTTCCAGTAAAATCAACACATGAATGTGTTTTTATATGGACATTAAAGGTGTTGGGGTGGGGGGAAAAAAATCCGTTAAAATTGTCCAAATCAGACGGAAAAATGTAGATTTCTTCTATTATATTATTTTGACGAGACCCTGAATTCACCATGATGACTCACAATTACCTGTATTCTAACAATTTGACCTTTGTTACCAGCCAAGGGTATCCAGGCACTGCGTACTGCCTGCAGTAAGTCTTTTTCAAGCCAGGGCTGACTATCCCAAATTTCAGATGGCGTTTCTTCCTTGACAGATGGACTGGATTGACTGAGGAGGTAGAGTCCATTCAGAAAATCAAAAGAACCCTTCCAAGTCGATAAAATCCAGAAAACAAAACATTTCTCACCCTAATAGATATCGATACCACGTGGCACCCAAATAAGACATACAGCTCAGTTGTACTTTGACCTTTAAAAGTCTCACAGCAACCCCTTCCACACAAATATTATTAGACACATATCATGTCATTAAAAAATCGTCAGATTTTCAGGCTGTTATAAACACATAGTGCTCTTCTTACTCTATGAGAACATTTTACACACACATAAAATAAATTAGTCAGTCAAATATTAAAAACATTCAGTTGTTTACATCGGTCCATGGGTAAGGAAATTATTAAAAAATAATTTACACCCCTAACCTCGAGGTCTTGTCTTTGAAAAAGAACTACAATTGCCCTGTGGCACTTTATTCACGTTAAAGGAACTCCTGAATCTTTCTACTGTTTCTCATGGCTCCTTCTTACCACTGTACTTCAGTCACACCCTTGATCTTAGGGTAGAAGACTAGCCGTCTCCGATATGTGCAAATAATCTTGGTGGTTCCAAGTGCAAGTTGTGCACGTTAAAGACCCTGTGGTGGTACTTAATCGATATGAGTATGTTTCGGCCACCACCAGGGCAAAATTCAAAATGAACCCCAACCAAAACTGAAAATACTCTAGTTAGTATAAAAATATAGAGTACCTTCAAAATCAGAAGGTCGCTGCCTGAAGACAAGGGGCCCTACAAAGTAGGTTAAACGATCACATACGTAAAAATAAGTTGCACTGCAAGGTGAAGAACCAGCAGTCGACTAGGCTACCCCTAAAATCTAGCAGGGGAACACAATGAAGAAGATGAGTAAAATTTTACAAAAAATAAATAAATAACTGGTCCTTAGTTAAGAATTGAGAGTAATTTATATTTGAAGTAGGTTGGGCTTCATCTGCTAGCCGTGGCAGCCCCAGGTGGAAGCAGTATTTTGCCAGAGGCAGGCAAGGTAACTAGGGTGGTTAAAAGAGTATTAAAAATCTGAGAAGAAAAAGATAAATTTTTCTCACGGCTTAATGTGCGGCTTGAGAAACAACAGGTGGTCATAGAAAATCCATTTAGCACGGCTGTTTCCCCCCTCGTCATCATTTTCAATCTGTCTTTTTCTGATCTTTGAAAAAGTATTTCTCAAGTACTTCCATTTTTTCTTCCAGTCAGCATCTGTGAAATTAAACAAAAGTAGATTGTACAGAAACTTTGGAAGTTTGAGTAGTGGCTTCAAATGTTGAAAATATGTTGTGCTAACATTATATGGGTTTCTAAATTCTTAGGTCAAAAGTGTGCTTACATGCTTTTCCACTTCTCATCTGAGTTTGAGCGTAAAAAGAAATTTAAGCTCTCATTATACTTTTTTAAAATCTCTCCCATCCCACGAACAAATATCCTTCGTGTATTTTACAGTTGATTTCACATTAATTTCTGAAATTAACTGTAAAATACAGGAAAGATTTTTTTTTTTCTCATTTTGTAAAACCAAGCTTTTGTTACAAAACTAATACTGCAACTGTTAAATTAATGAAACATATATTTGGAAGAAGTTCATTAAATCTTGTTTGTTGAGAATGAAAAGTAGCACAGCAATGATGTAGTGAAGGTTCAAAACATTGCTTTCCTTCCAAATAATAAAGAATGATTATATTCAAGACAATCACAAGTGAAGATTAGGTTACAACAAGTGTCTTTCGAAAAGCATGAATATCAGAGAAAGTGTACAAGGAGCTGACTTTTTAAACTTGTACATTATTCAGAACTGTGACACTTAACAGACATGAATATGAAATATTATTACCTGACATACTGGGATCTCCCATGTCTGTTTCTACTCTTTTCCAAAATTCATCTAAGGAGTCACCTTCCAAAGGTCTCCCTGTTCTGCTTCTAGTGAACACTTCTGGAGTTTCCCGGACAAGCTCGATGAGTTTAATAATGATTTTCTCTTTCTCCATCTGTATGATGGACAGCTGGACAAAAAAAGAGTACATGTATGATAAACTTGTTCTTGACAACAGTCTGACATAAAAATCAAGGTGCTTCAAAGTAATTATTACACAGATCTCAGCATGATAAAAATCCCCATAACAACCAGTACTGCAATGACAATGCACAAAAAATGAAGATATCATGGGGAAAAGTAAGTAACAAGTAAAAAAAACAATGGAATCTGCAATAACAGCAAACTCAAACTTTTCCATGTAAACAGACTTAAAACAATTTTTACATCTATCCCTGCACTTATAGTCTTCACAAAAAGTGTCAGACCAAGCAAAAGTGCACGCAAAATAAAAACCAGCAAATCAAATTATTCCTTCTTCGACATTCATTTAATTCATCAATCCATAAGTGCAAAAAAGAAATTTAGACACAATCGAAACCGAAATGCGTAATTCAAAGTGCCCAAAAGGGACCCACCCTCAAAATGAAAATCACAAAAGAAAGGGTCTCAAAAAGTCTAGGCAATATCAAACAAAACGACCGGTTTAAGTTCGTGAATGTCAATGAAATTGTCAGAAGAGTGTGTGCCCACCATTCACCGCAAGGCAGCCCTGACAGGGCAGGGGTATCTGCAGGAAACCCTTCGACCACTGGACATCCCGGCACTGCAGCAGATTGGGCCTGCTGCTGTCCTTCAAGACCACGACGCCACGCTACACAGGTCCAGGGCCGTCAACGCCTTTGTGCAGCAGGTGGGGATTACCCGCATGGTTTGGCCGGCCAACAGTTCAGACCTCAATCCTATTGAACAGTTGTGGGCTGAGCTTGGTTGTCGTTGGCCTAGTGGTTAGGCTCTCGGACTCACAACCGTAAGGTCGTGGGTTCGAATCCTGTCAGGGGCCCGACGTTGTGTCTTTGGGAAAGGCACTTTGCACAAATTTTCCTGACTTCACCCAGGTGGAAATGGGTACCCGGCTACAGACAGTGAACGATCTTGTCAGTTTGGTAGTGCTTGTGCGCGTGAAATCTGCAGCTTGCACTGTATGCTTCCGCGGAAGCCGAGAATGTTTCTGAGTGTTCTCAGAGGGTCTGCTGGGGTAATAATAGTTGTAAAGCGCATAGAGCATGCTCTTGAGCCTGGATATGCGCTATATAAATTCAATTATTATTATTAGAACCACCCTTTGCATGCCAACCGACAGCAGCTGCTTGGATGGCTGCAACAAGAATGGAACAACATCCCCCAGGCCTTATGGCACGCCTGATCAACTCTATGCGCCAGCTGTGCCTTGGCTGCCTTGCCGAGAATGGTGGGCACACGTGCTTCTGACAATTCCATTGACATTCCCGAACTTAAAATAGTAGTAAAAGTAGTTTTCTATATATATATATATAGCTGAGACTTTTTGAGACCCTTTCTTCCGTGATTTTTTATTTGGAGGGTGGGTCCTTTTTGAGCACTGGGAATTATAATGCATTTCGGTTTCGATTGGGATGAAATTTCTTTTTTGCACTTATGGATTGATGAATTAAATGTATGTCAAAGAAGGAATAATTTGATTTGCTGGTTTTTATTTTGCGTGCACTTTTGCAAGTGGTCCTTAACTTTTTGTGAAGACTGTATCTCATTCTACAGGTGTACTATAGTTCGTTTACTTTCATCTGTACAAGTTGAAAAAAAATCTAGATCTCGCTAAATTATTGATTTGCCAATACGCATACATGTATAACTTTGCATGGTACTCCTTTTTTTTTTTTTGAAGTGTTCTACAGCGCTTGCAACTGCATAAGGTCATATGAGCATGCAGGACACATTAAACATTTTAAGTTGGTAGGATTAGGAAATTTTGAATTTTTCATGGGTGGCGGCCGAAGCCTGAACTCTTATCCATTTTAAACCACCACGGGATCTGACCTCCGAGATTTTTCGCCCTTGTCTGCTTGAGGCCATCAACAACAAAAGAATTCCAAGGAAAAAAAAAAGAAGAAAAAAAATCTTCATTCATTCATAAAAAGTTCCTTTATGTGGGCCCTACATAACATACTGCTTCTTCGGTGCCTACACAGGATCACTATAATAATATATGATTTACAATAACCTTCCTCACTTACACATTGTCAAAGTTAAGACAGTGACAGTGATCCCACCCTGCCCAATATTTCAGCGTAAACACATAGTTTTCCTCCAAAGACCATCTTGACATCTCAATGTGAGTCTCGAAAAGTACTCATCCATCTGTAGGAATGCGATAAAGATTTTGAAAGAGTGTTGTGCGATGAAAATAGGTGAACTTTTTTGTTTTAGGTGTATGCAATAACTCTCTTACAGTCTAGCAAGCACATAACGACCAAAATATTTTCTTATTTGTACATTCTTTGTATTTTTTTAACATAATAGTGAAATTCACATTTACATTATACCCAGGGGCAATCGAAACTTTCCATTTTGTTTTGGAGTAAGTGAGCCAGATTTTGCACATGGCTCACCATGTACCCAACGAAGACTCCATACTGATCTTTTTCCTGAATAAAATTTAATCATGTGGTCATGTGACCCACATGCAAATTAACATGTTTTGTGACTAAAGTTCTGCTGAAATTATGAAATCCAAACTGTGGTTAGATCAACACATCAGCGACTTTAGAACGAAAAAAAAAAACCAAGTTACATAAACACTCCAACTAGTTTTTGTCCTCTCAAATAGCTAAACAATATTCTAAGGTTAAGGTTTTTGTCCTCTCAAATAGCTAAACAATATTCTAAGGTTAAGCCCCGAGGAGTGCTATTGGGCAATTTAAATACTGCAAGCTGTACTATCAGCCCGTAGAGTGGCGCGGATGCTATATTGCGACCATCCTACCATCAATATCCCGAAAGATTGGTTCCAAGTCACTGGGGACTACCTGACAGACCCAGACCAGATAGACCACAGGTCAATACTGCCCAAAGAAAGACAGACTGTTCTGGCATCTTTGAAATCACTTTCTCACAACGACTAGTTCTGCACATCAGTTTCATACAGACACTGGAAGAGTTATAAATCAGCCATAGAAGGATACAACTATGGCCTTAAAACACATTCGGACATCGAGCAGGGCAGCCTTATAATGACCAACGTTTGCAATCTTTCGAATAATTACGCTTGAACTGACTGGGCCAAAGAGGGAGCTCCCAAAAGGACATTAAAGGCCAATCTTTGGGATTAAGGCACGGAAATGCGAGCATTAAAGAATGATACCTTGCACACAATTGCGTGCGTATAGCAAAAAAATGTATTGGTGCACGCAACAAATATTATGGTTTAAACAGGGGGGAATTCCCCCCCCCCCCCTCCCACCCCCAGATTTATTTTTTACTTCAGGGGGGCCTGATGAAACCCTCCGATTGGTCCAAAGCGTGAGAGACGGGAAGTATTAAAGTAAAAGAATACCAACTAGATCTAGAGCCCTCTCTATACTAAATTCTAATTATGGCGTTTCAAGCTAGTCAGTAAATCCTAAAGTCTAAAGAAAACAAGAAGGCTACATGGGAAAACAGAGGTAAAATGGAAAGAAAATATAAACCCAAATTAAAATTTTTTTTCTACTTTTCTATTTCAGTTTCAGCCAAAAAAAAACCCCTCCAATACCTAAAGGCCGGCTCTATTTCTCCGAACGCTCAGGAAAATAAACTTAGTAGAACTCTATTTCTCCGAACGGTTTCCGTTCTTGAGGTTTGTTGATAATAATTGCGAATGGAGGGGCCCGTGTGTGTGTGTGTGTGTGTGTGTGCGTGTATGTGTGTGAGTGTGTGTGCGTGTGTGAGTGAGTGTGCGTGTGAGTGTGCGTGTGTGAGTTTTTGTGAGAGTGAGTGTGCGTGTGTGTGAGTGTGTGAGTGAGTGAGCGCGAGCATGTTAAGGTGTGAACGGGGATTGGGGGGCGTTGAGAGATTCTTTTTTGGTTACATGAAGGATTTTAATTTCGAAGTGGCTAGCCGTACTTTTAACGGCTAGACTGCCAGTCTAGCCGTACTTAGATCTATGTTTGGCCCAATCGACTCAAGCCTGTTAAGTACACTGGTCTCATTAGATCTAGATCTAGTAATTATTCAGGTTCAAATACATGCAAGTCAGTAAGGCACCTTTTGGTTTTGTCTGAAATACAAATACTTTTGGCATTGCAAACTAAAAATTTCATTTACAATTCAGCCATCAAAATTAAGTACGGCTAGCCTGACAGTCTAGCCGTACTTATCTTAGGCCCTATTAACATTAGAAAACAGGAGGTTTAAAATACATACACTGTCATTAAGGCACCTGGTTTTGTCTCAAATACAAATGCTTTAGGTACTGCACACTAAAAATGTATATTTACAATTCAGTAGGCCTATTTTTTGTAAATGGTCAGTCTAGCCATCATATTAAGAATAAGTACGGCTAGACTGCGAGTCTAGCCGTCATTAAGTACGGCTAGCCTCTTCCTTTCGAAGTGGCTAGCCGTACTTAGATCTAGGTTTGGCCCAATCAACTCAAGTCTTTTAAGTACAGAGGTCTCATTAGATCCAGATCTCGTAATTATTCAGGTTCAAATACATGCAAGTCAGTAAGGCACCTTTTGGTTTTGTCTGAAATACAAATACTTTTGGCATTGCAAACTAAAAATTTCATTTACAATTCAGCCATCAATATTAAGTACGGCTAGCCTGACAGTCTAGTCGTCCTTAAGTACGGCTAGCCTGGCTGTCTATCCGTACAAGAAGTCTAGCCGTACTTATCTTAGGCCCTATACATTAGAAAACAGGAGGTTTTAAATACATACACTGTCATTAAGGCACCTGGTTTCGTCTCAAATACAAATGCTTTAGGTATTGCACACTTAAAATGTATATTTACAATTCAGTAGGCCTATTTTTTGTAAATGGTCAGTCTAGCCATCATATTAAGAATAAGTACGGCTAGACTGCGAGTCTAGCCGTACTTAACTAACTTTTAAGTACGGCTAGACTGCCAGTCTAGCCGTCATTAAGTACGGCTAGCCTCTTCCTTTTTTTTTCTTCTCTTTAAAATCAATAAAAATAACCCAGATTCAACGAGCACTTAAATCAGTGAGCTCAGATTCAAAGAGGTCGCTTCTAGGGTGAACAGCCCCCACAGACGTGGCTTCTCTCATTTTTCTCGAACGAACTTTATCTATTCCCGGAAACCATCCATTGCACCTGCATCATGAACCCACTTAGCGGATTGCATGCGACCAATCAGCAGCTTTTTTAATACCTACACAAGGGTTGTTGGCACGTGCACGTGTCTACTCTGGCATGTGTCAGGGTCTGATGGAAGGCCTGCACACGTGTGGCTGTGTGCGTGTCGGGGAGGGGGGGGCACTAGCGGTCCGGGCATTGAACGTCGCAGACACAAATACCGTAATACGTCAGTCTTTTTCCTCCTCTGCAACTGATCATTATACAGTGGAAACCTGATATAGCAGGGATGGTGGGAGTAGAGAAAATGTCCTGTTATATCCGATCCCTGTTAAATCAGAAATGCTAGGAAAGTAAGCATTTGTGGACTAATCCAGCTGTACTTATTCATGGGTAGTTTCCTTTGCCAAAAGTAAAGTAGCCACGAACAGGGGTTTTGGCACCAACTTTCTCCTAGCCTCCTTAAACCACATCAGAAGAGCTTAGTCCACAGCATCTGCATCAGGTAGTCTCATCTTTTTTCGATTCAGAGCAAACTTTCCATTGGAGTATGCTGCCACTATCTTCTCTCTATCCTTGATAATGGTGTGAATCGGCCCTTGTGGAATGTCGAACTGACGACAAATTTCTGCCAGTGGAGCTTGCTTTTTGTCAACAGCCTGGATTATTTCGGTGGGGGTTTTTTTTGTCAATTGAAAGGCATTTTTTACATCGTTGGTGACAGTAGACACATTACGCGTGCGTGTTGCTAGGTTTCGGGATAGATTGAGGTCTGCAGCACACCGCAGCCTTCTCTCGCTTCACACGCTGCGTGTGCTTGCAGTGGCATGGCTTGCGTGGGCTTGCTCCATCACTGCGTCACTCTCTCTTTCTCTTACTTTTGACACATGATTGTTAACGAGCCTTTGTCCCTAATAACCGGTTGGGCTGCGATGAGGCCCTGTTATTGCCGATAAATTTTAATAGAGACAAAGAGTAGGAAAAATCGGGGATTTAAAAAATCCCTGTTATTACCAGATCCCTGTTATTACCAGATCCCTGTTATTACCGGGCCTGTTATATATGGTTTCCACTGTAATTACAATGATAAGCTAGTCTTGACGTAGATCTGCGTAATGAATTGTACGCTGGTCTATGGAATAAAAAGTTGCCGTAGGCTAGGCTCTTCACAGCAACACAACTTTTTGGTAAACAATCGAGATGACACAGGCGTGTGCATTTGAACGAATCAGTCTTTTTTTTTTTACTCAGTTCATAAAATGCAGGCACTTCACTGCTTCCGGCACTACTTGTGACTTCTCTTTATTCATTCGAAGTGATTATTTGGACTCGAGTCCGAATATGAAAAAATGTTATTCGGACTCTGATTCTTGTCCAGCATGACATCACTTCCGACTTCCTGTGACTCGTGAATCCGGCTTCCTGTCCTGCCTCACTCATGACTCGCCTCAGGCTGGGTAGAGACCGGGATCACTTCGGGCAAAAAGGCGTTTTGTGCAGGAGCCGAGTTTTAATCTTATGATGAATTTGAGGCCGGCCTGAACAGTTATAGCGCTTCTAATAAATGTTTATTTGTCAAGAGGTCATCAGAAGCAATTAAAAATGGCTCGTTAGCGTGTGTCGGGGTCGGTTGGGCGGCCTGCACACATGTGGCTGTGTGCGTGTCGGGGAGGGTGGTGGTGGGGGGAGGGGGGCACTATCGGTCCGGGCTTTGAACGTCGCATACGCGTCAGTCTTTTCCCCCCCGGCAACTGATCATTATTACAATAATAAGCTAGTCTTGACGTAGATCTACGTAATGAATTGTGCGCTGGTCTATGGAATCAAAAGTTGCCGTGTATGCTCAGCTCTACACAACAACACAACTTTTTCTTGGTAAACAATCGATATGACACAGGCTTTCGTGTATTTGAACGAATTGGTCTTTTTTTTTTACACAGCTCATAGCAGGTGCCATGTGGTCTGCTAATCTTCGGTGTGGGGGAATTATTAACCTTTTTCAACAACAAAGAAAGTGGGAAACGTGGGGGGGGGGGGGGGGCGTATCAATGAGGCAGCGGGCATTGGATCGGCAGATATTAGGTGTGGGGGAAACTAAAAAATGGCGGAAAATTGGAAGCACTGAACGTTAGATCTATAGAACGAAGACACTTCCTTTTTTCCGGACTCGAGTCCGAATAACGACGGCCTTATTCATTACTTGCTCAGTGCCTGTATTTATCTAGATCTAGATCTATACAAAACCTCATGTTTGCTATTATAACGAACACTCGGATTCATCAAGATTTTAGGCTAGGCCCGGCGACCTCGTTGAATCCAAGTTCCACTGTACCTAAGTCTACTTAGTCTAAGTGTATTTGTATTTAAGACGAAACCAGGTGCCTTAATGACAGTGCATGTATTTTAAACCTCCTGTTTTCTCATGTTAATAGGACCAAAGATAAGTACGGCTAGACTAAATTAAATTACTATTATTGGCTAGGCGTATCATACGGAATTAGATTTCTAATTGTAAATGAAATTTTTAGTTTGCAAAGCCTAATAAACTATAAAGTATTCGTATTTCAGACAAAACCACAAAAGGTGCCTTTCTGACTTGCATAATGGCATTATTTAAACCTGAATAATTACTAGATATCTAGATCTAGATCTAGATCTAGATTCTAGATCTAGATCTAGATCTAATGAGACCTGTACTCTGTACTGTGTACTGAACAGGTTCGAGTCGATAGGGCCAAATCTAGACTAGGTAGGTCAAAGTCAAAGTCGGCTAGACTGACAGTCTAATTGGCGATTGTCAAGATTTCCGCGTTTAATTCTGATGTGCGTTTTTCATAGCCTCAGGTATGTTTCGCTTTGGTCCCTAACCCTAACCCTAACCCTGGTCAGGGTTAGGGTTAGGGTTAGGGTCAGGGTTAGTAGGGTCAGGGTCAGGGTTAGGGTTAGGGTTAGGGTTAGGGACCAAAGCGAAACATACCTGAGGCTATGAAAGACGCACATCGGAATTAAACGCGGAAATCTTGACAATCGCCGTCTAGATTCTAGATTCTAGATCTAAATATCTAGATCTAGATATATCTAGATCTAGATATAGATTCTATATCTAGATTCTAGTTCTCCTCAGCCTCAGGCTGGCCGTACTTTAAGAACGGTTAGCCACTTCGTAGTAATAATGCCAATAAATTGGGGAATTAATCAGATCTCTCGATATGAGTAGAAACAATTTGATTACGCCTTGAAATTAGGGTATATAAAAGACAAGTCAATAAAAACTACAAGTTTTAAAAAGTCAAGTCTGACTTACTCTCAGTTTGGCAGAAAGCGAAAGTACCGTACTGTGTACTGTGTTTTTTGACTTTGTTTTTGCGCGCTAATGCTGCCAGATATCCTATCCAAACGACAGTGGATATAGACCTGAGGCGAAAGACACCAGGCAATTATAAAAATATAAATTAAATCCTGTTTTATTCATATATGAGAATTTGAGAAGTTCTTTTCAATCAAGCAAATGGGAGCACATGTGGATTGTCTCTATCAAATATAGATGGAACAAGGATATTATTTCAACACTAGTTCATTGTCATTTCAAGAAAGCCTGTTTGTCAATTCGGCAAATACATTTTCTAAACTTTTTGAAACCGGAAATGACATCATATTAAACTTCATGCGGAAGTATACATACTTTCTTGCGGAAGTATCTGAAGCTGTACGCCGTACGCTGTACTGTGTGGACCAAGACCAAGAAAGAATGTTTGTGTACACTGCTGACTGCTGTGATACATCATAGAAAAAGATGTTGAGACGCCAGACTCTTCCTTTTCATATGTAGTCAGCTATCTTTCTAGTTGCTCAACATGGCGAAAAGTTCAAGATCTGCCTTTCGCTCTGCGGGTGGCATCGTCGAAATTAAGAGCAAGGTATTCTTCTCTTACTTTTACTTTCATCAACAATCACTGAAACTCCTCTAGTCTTTGTGTTACTGTTAGATTCTAGATCTAGAGTTCTAGGGGGCCTGTTACTTTTTGGGGGGGAGTGTATACAGACCCGGTAACCGGGAGCAAAGTCACGCGAAGTATACAATTCAATAGACCTGGTTATGGTAGGGGGACTCTAGTCTTGGGATTTCAGAAAGTTTCTCAGCGCCCACTTGGCTCAGGGCAGACCAAGGCGCCCAAGGTTCTTCAGATCTAGTCTATGGCTATGCCGCTATGGCCTCGGTTTAGATCTAGACAGACATAAATCATTGATCTTTTTTGAGACTAGCCTATATCTAGATTTAGATAGCAATGCCTATCGCCCGCTGCGCCTTGGGCCGGAAATCGGCCTCCGCTCGGAATCAGAAGTGACTCTCTTCTACGTCACGTTTAGTTACGGGAAAACTCCTGAACGAAAATAAATGATACTCGGCAACCAACCAGAGGAAAGGTTAAACTAACGACATGCCAGCGTATAATCCCGAACGATTACTAGAACCGGAGATATTATTGCCGCGTTTGTGCGAATTTCCTCTGCGGTTCGAAAACTAAGCGGAGCTGCGGGTTGATCGCTGACCACACAAGCGCCCCACATGTCTTCTTTATTGCTGTAAAATTTCAGATCTCTGCGTTAAGTCGATTTTCCGTACCAACTTAAAATTACCACCCATCCATTGATAAATCCCTAGATCTAGAAACTTGATCGCGCATTCCAAACGCGAGGTGCCGGCACGAAAGAGGCGCGTGATCGCTAGGCGGCATGTGATTGGCTGCCTATAACCAAATGGGTCACCGATGACTACATCGCGGGTTTTCCCGATAGCGCATTACTGAGTTTTAGAAGGGGTGATCGCGTCGCGGTAAAAACGATGTCACGCAATTCAACAAATTTCACGCAAATATCAGTCTTTAAGATCCAAAGTAATGAAGATATATAGAAAAAGTGATAGCAAAACTAGATTCGGCACTAAAAATCACATGGAGATGCCAAGTTTCATTCATATGCTCCAATTCATTACTGACTCAGTTTTTCCTCAACATACATCAAAACATGTCCCACATTTTGGCGATTTTTTCCTATATGAAGTATAATGAAGGTCCTCCAACATTTTGCAAACAAAAATCCCAATAACTTTTTTATTTATCAATGGATTTTTAAAATTTAAAAACCATAGTTCTTAGAATTTACTCTATTTTGATTTAAGCCCATTTTTAAGCAATTTGGATGAAAATTTGATTTTTCATTGTCATTGCTAATTTAGATCTAAAATCTAGATCCAGGTAGATTTAAATGAAGATTGCGGATGTCTTTTATCGATGAACAACCGTTTTTCCTCTGTTTCGAAGTTGGAGGAATCACACCATTTCATTTAAAGAAAAGAACAATGTCATAATTTCAATCAAGCAGTCACCCTCTCTATTTCTCTGCCTCTCTCTCTCTCTCTCTCTCTCTCTCTCTCTCTCTCTCTCTCTCTCTCTCTTTCTCTCTCTCTCCTCTGTGTATCGCTCGCCTTCTCTTTTAAATTTCTTTGTTTATCTCTGTCTTTCTTTCAGAAGAGCAAGGAAGTGGCTGTCCTCACCCGGGGTGAGAATATAAAAATGATAGAGACCTCTCACCCCGGGTGAGACACTTGCCACCTTTGGCTAATCTCACCCAGTGTGAAACAAGACCTGTTTTTCCTAGTTTCGGAATACTTTCTATTGGTGTAGATGATCAAATGGATAAAAACAAAGAAAAAATTACCTTATCGCACAAAAGTAAGCTAATTTGATCGTCTACAAAGATGCTATGGCTATTTCACTTTTCGAATCGAGCCGAACTACGCGGGTCGCCATTTTGTTTTGCCCGAAGTTCTCGCAAGATCTACTCCTCCCCGCTTCTCTCTCTCTGTCTCTTTCTGAATACTGTCTATCGGTGTGGACGATCAAATTGACCAAAATAAAGTTAAGAAATGATGTGAAAACACAAAAGTAAATTAATTTGGTCATCTATACAGATGCTACGGCTATTTAACTTTTCGAATCGAGCCGAACAACGCGGGTCGCCATTTTGTTTTGCCCGGAAGTTCTCGGGCTACTCCTCTCTCTCTCTTTCTCTCTCTCTCTCTCTCTCTCCACTGCCCACAGACAAAATTGTACGCTTTTAGGTTTAGGCTAACACTACTAACAGTAGTAATGGAACGTTTGTTCATGGCACAGAATTCTACGATTTTTCTGTTATCACAGTGTAGAATTCTGTGGTTCAGGGTGAACGCAAAATTGGTTGGCCTAGATCTAAATCTAGATCTAGGCTATAACGGTGTACGCACACCGGATGAGAATAGCCAAAAGACTCGCCTGCGCTATTCTCACCCGGGGTGAGAATGGAGGTGGCCCTTTCTTTCTCCCCAGCCATTTCCCACTCTATCTTTCTCTCATTCCCTCCTGCCAACTGGGGCATGTTATATACATTTTGCAAGCACTTCCCCCTGCTCTCTCTCTCTCTCTCTCTCTCTCTCTCTCTGTGTCTCTCTCTGTCTGTCTGTCTGTCTGTCTCTCTCTCTCTCTCTCTCTCTCTCTCTCTCTCTCTCTCTCTCTCTCTCTTTCACACACACACACACACACACACACACTACCGGGTCTGGGCACTGAAACTTTCAGAAATCACAAAAGAGTTCCCCTACCGGGTCTGTATACTTCGTGACTTTGTTCCCGGTTACCGGGTCTGTATACACTTCGGGGTTTTTTTTTACACAGATAATTTATCCGTTAGAAAGTAGAGGGTAAATTTATACTTTTACACCCACACACATATACACTGATACGAAGGCTAAACTGCCATAATTTTTGCTGCAGAACACACATGTGGCCACTGAAACCCTTGCAAATCAATTATTTTCTTGTAAATATCAATCCTAATTGCCAAAACATCAAATCATTGTGAAATTGTGTGTGTGTGTACAACTTTGAGAAGGTAAATTAATGGAATGAGAATTGCTGAGATTGTTTTACTAGTCTAGATCTAGTCTAATACAAATTAATACAACCCAGCCAGTTCTAGTCCACAGTTACTAGCAAGGGAAATCCAAGAATCTAGGGGGGGCACCCCGGAAGACGACAAAAATTGTTGCCGGAAATGCGTCATCTATATTTCGGGCCAATCACAGAGGTGTGCTAGGTGCTCGCTGTAGTTTCATGAAGTACTGAAAACTTTGGCAGGTGTATGTTTGGGTTTCTTTTTAGATATTTAAGGTTTGAACAATGCTCTGTTCGCTTTATAAACTACAAGCTAATTGTTTCCATTTTCCTTCCCCAATAATAATCGTTCTCAGCACACTAAAAAACTTTAAAATAAAGCCGAAAAATGGTCTGAAGTGGGTGTAGACCTTTTCTCTATAAATTTATCTGAGAAAATTTTGTTTCCACTTTGTTGTGAAGGGATTGAGCTTTTCAATTTTCAATTTGAATCGGGCTTGTAGTGACTGATAAGTAATGTTAAAAGTCTTAACATTAAAATATCCAAATCGCAACCCATTACGTAGGTAGACTCATCAATCGTCAAATATAGAGTCTGTAGATCTTATTTTGGAGTTTGAGTTTGTTATCTCTTACTTTACGTTACGGGATAAGGCAGGTTTAACAATTTTATGCGCACTGAGGTGGTGAGATGTTCCAATGCCTATATAAGTTTATGTTTTGTTGAAATAAACAATTTTTCAAACTGTGTTTGTGTTGTGTTTGCTTCGAATAAACTAGAAAACCATTAAAATTTGTTTTGTTTTTTTGTTGCGTTCATTTTTTATGACTGATCTTAGGACGTCTATCGTCACTTTTCAGGACACCATTTCCCATTTTCCAGGTCTTGTCAGATTGATCATCTGGGTAAGGCCAAAAACTCATATTTCCACAAAAATATTGTGTAGAATTTGGAAAATAGCCTTGAAAAGTTGTTACAACCACAAATCTCAAGCCTACATACTACATGTCCTTAGACCTAGGCTTGGGATCGATAATAGGACAATATTTTTATCACACCTGTCCATCTGAATTAGGATGCTCTTAAAATGCCATCTAAGCCTACCTTTCTACTTCACATGAAATCTGTGAAAAACTTGCATATTGTCATTAAACATACTTTTGGATCCTAGAGTCAGTCATTATGTCGCAGCATGGGTCCTGGAATTTTTGACAGGCAGACCACAATATATTAAGCTGAATTATAACACAAAATCTGACTCAATCCTTTGTAACACCTGCGGTCCTCAGGGGTGTGTTTTGTCACCAGTTTGTATAAAATATCAACGATCATAGAAATAAATATAAATGTAACACGCTTAATTTTAAGTTTGCAGATGATTCCGCTATTATTGGATTAATAAATCTTGATGAAAAAGAGTGTTTGAAAGAAATATGTATGTTTTTTAAATGGTGCAATTCAAATTTTCTAAAAGTGAATCTTTCAAAAACAAAGGAACATAACAAGGCTCAACAAAGTGGAAACATGGGTCTCAGTCGCCGTAAACATTTCCCATAAATTTACTTTGGTCCTGATAAAGTTGCCCGTCTACTTTGATGTCTCTGGTTTGTTTGATGATCTACCATGATATTTCTTTTCTAATGAGTTTATTTTTACCAACACTGGCTTGGGATTGTCATTGGCCATATTAAAAATGTTTTGATGGTTATAGTTTGTAATGGGGGGGGGGGGGGGGGGGCGCTTGTAAACTCCACCATCTTTGATCTAAATACCCTCAGTGCTGTTATTACCATGGTCAATAAGGCGAGATTTATTCTTTGAATAAGACTGGTCGATTGGATGGGGTTTAGGCTAGACAGGCTACTGAACCGGCTCCTTTTCTTCTTTGCAGCTAAAAGATAGTAGTAGTGAGAAGTGCAGGAGCAGTGGCTTTCTCATATGTCTTTTTTATTAAAACGTGTACTACGGAATTGTCGGTATGTACTCTGCAGTGTAAATCAAAGTTAAACTGAGTTTAATAAAAAAAAATTCACTGGCAACTGTATTTTTTTAAAGCTTACTTGCCCAATTTTTTTAACATGTTACTGTTTCATCATTGTTATTTTCAGTTTGAGGCAGAGTTCCGGAGGTTTTCCATTGACAAGAACAAGACTTCACAGTTCGATGAGTTCTATCTGCTCTTGGAAGAGTTGCATGGATTGATAGACACTCCCTTTGTGGTCACTTACACTGACCCTGTGCACATGGATCTGCTTCCTATCAACAACAACGAAAACTTTATAAAAGCGCTCACCACTGCAAGACCTGGGCTGAAAGTAATTCTGCAGAAAAAAGGTGAAACAAAAATGTGCATATTAAGTCTATGTAATCTGTGGTGGCACGATAGCTTTGGTTTACAATTTTAGCCACCTGATGATGAGGCATGTCCTTAATCAGAAAATTAGGTGCTAGAAAATGCCAGTTGTAGTGAGTGAAAGGGAAATTATAGAGAGATGTCCTGCACTTCGTAGGGTCATCTTGTGTTTCTGTCTCTCTTCTGATGTTGCAAGACTTTTGCTCAAATATCTTTCTCTTTCATCTTGTGACTGGTGTAGATTTCTGTTGGTTCTAATATTGATCTCTTTATTTATAATTTCTTGTGGCTCTTTTAGACATTTTGTACCCCAGCTGTACTCACTCTTAAAAGAGAATACACTTTAGCCTGGTAAATACCGAAATGTTAAGCGCTATTTTATGATTTTAGGAAGTCTTGATTGAAAGTTTTGGCATTCTGTAATTTGTTATATGATCAACACTTATCATTACAAATTATATTATTGTCTAAAGAATTTCACCTAGATTGGGTTTGTTACTTTGGGGTTTATTCGTAAACAAGAGATTGACCAGCATTCTATCATAGTAGAATGCAAAGCATAGATTTGTTTACATTATTTTCTTTCACTACCTTCTTTAGGCCATTACCAAAGGGGGGACATTTCTCGTTCAAGCACAGTAGAATTGTAAATGGGCTGATTCATCATGTCTCGCTCATAACTGTGCCTGATATACAACAGGGAACTGCTGCTTTTTCTTTCCTAATCCTTATTATCGTCATTTTCCTCTTTTTCTTTTGTATGTTTGTCACTCTCTTGTGACCCGCTATTTCCGGGGTGCCTTGATAGTTGAAGCAGACCTTGTACTGTTGAAGCTAGAGAGGTGAGCAGAGTAAGTCTGATTCCCTGTAAAGACTTCTCTGTTGACACCCGCCTCTTGGTGCTCATATGACCTTATGCAGTTGCGAGCGCCGCAAAACCCTCTACTATTTTACACACCTCTTCTTTTTCTTCTTCTTGTTCTTCTGTATAAATAGACATCCAAATCTATAGTGCGAAGGTTGCTGTTGGCCGCAGATCCTCCAGGCTCCGGTAGAGCTTTGGGTCTCCCTGCCAAGGGTTGCACCAATATTTCCTTCTAAAATGCCTCAGTTTGGTGACATGAACTCACAACATCACTGAATACAAAAAAAATTGGTCATGTCGGTTATTAAACACCTGAGTCTTTAAGTAGCTATATGACTTGCGCAACTTTTGTTGCTGGGTATATTTAAGGGATTTTTGCTCTTGAGACAAATTTGCTATCAGGGTCATTTTGGTATTTTCCTATTGTTGATGCAGCAAGGAATGATATGGAAGTTTTCATTTATTTTCATAGTTTCAGACAGCAAGACCAGTAATGTTGAATTTGTAAGATTTTTATCTGAGAATAGCATTCTAGCGATTAAACTTCACGAAAATTAAGTTTGAAATGGGTTTTTTGTCTTATAATGTGTTTTTATGTGTGATCTTTATTTTGATTTAAATTCATGCTAGACATTCGTTCATAATTAGATTTTATGTATATTATTTCTTGTTTTCTTTTCAGGTGAAAGTTATGGAGAACTGTATGGATATGGATTACAGCCTGTGAAACGGCGGAATCCAATTTCCAAGCTAATGAGTGGTGAACCTGCAGCAAGGCCTCGCATTAAAATCAGTGTAATGGAAGACTTCCGAAGAGTTTCTGCTATAATTGATGTGGACATTGTGCCTGAGACTCATCGCAGAGTGAAACTTATGAAGAATGGATCTGATAAACCTTTAGGGTTTTACATACGAGACGGCACAAGTGTACGGGTCACCCCACAGGGTCTAGAAAAGGTTTGTTCTTTGAAATGTTTTCTTTGTATTCAGCTTGTTTGTAGAACAAGGTGTACTTACTCTGGACAGGTCCATTGCTGATTCCTCCTCCTCAATGTTGAACTCACGATGGTTTCTGTGGTGGGTTGTCTTCTGACAGAGCACAGCTAAGCCTCAGCCTGTGCTACTCCCTTTTGCAGTGAAATGTGAAGAAAGGGGATAATGATTTACGACATTCTGTTATTTCTTTCAGAACAATTTTTTACCACTTTACGGCTGATTAATTTTCTGCCCATGTTTGAAAAGGCTTATCTGTTCAATTGTCGCTGTAAACTCCTGCTTGGGTAAGTTAAAAGAACGTTGTGGCCCTCCTGTAATTGCCTCTGTGGATAGCCCTAAATAAGGTTTGAGTAGAAAAAATTTTTTGCACTGGTGCATTGCCAAAATGTGAGACTCTTGAGACTCAGTGGTGCAAAAAATTTTTTCTTACCAATTTGACTCTCTTTTCTGTCAGTCACAGATTGACATTTAGTGCTCATATTCCTAGAGTATCAGAGCAAGGAGATGTACGATTTTGGAGATATGGGTCTATTGGTTTGGCAACCACTGTATTTCTTGTATGTAACAGTGATGACAAAAACAGATAAGCAGCAAGGCAAATTATGGACTTTAAATTCCATTTGTTTAGTAAACAAAGACTTTGTACACTATGAACTCCATTCATAATGGTAATATGAATGACAAGCTTTGTAACAATGACGCAGTGCACAGAACATGTCATCATTGTTATGTACAAGAAAGGATACACATTGGACATTATCATTGACAACACATCACAATAGTGAAAGGCTGTACAAATACAGTAATCAAAGCCTCAGTACCAGAAAAACACATGTGTAAAACAATTTTTAAACTAATATGAGGCAAAAGCACAAAATCAATTGAGCTGACCTGTACATAACAGTGATGACAAACATGACTTGTACATAACAATGATGACACAATGTACAGGAAAAGACAAAAGTCTTGCCTCCAGGGAGAAAAACACACTTTAAGAATTAAAAAAAACCAGGAGAGGTTTCTTTTGCTTTGAAACAGATATCAGGTCATATCAAAGACAGTGGACGATCACAATTATGTTGCTAATTATGACAAACAGTACTCGTACATAACAGTGATGACAAAACGTACTGGGAAAAGGTAAAATCATGCCTACAAAGAACAAATTTGCACCAAGAGATACACAGATCAATAAAGGCGTATTTTGCTTCTAAATGAATCTTGAATGTATGAAATATATGTTGAAAACTTATTGATATTAGCAATGATGACAAATATTACTTGTACATAACAATGATGACACAATGTATTGGAAAAAGGTATATCATACCAACAAAGAACAAATGTGTATTTTTGAGTTAGACAGATAAACAAGGACATGTTTGTTTATTTGTTTGAGTAAAGAGAGCACACATTACTTTAAAAATGTTTGCTCTTAGGACAATGTAATTTCTAGTACGTCAGTCAGTCTTGTACGGCTGCATGACGACACCCCAAACGTCATCACTGAGCACAAAAGCTAAATCTATAACCACAGAAATGATCCATCTCTCGAAGTTTGTTCACACATCACACTCTTGTTCCAGGAATCCAGTGTAAACACCGCAGTTTCACTAAAATATTCAACAGAGTAGCCTAAAAACACGCAAAACAGCCCAGTACGTCACATTCAACGCAAAATTCTTGTGCGTCACCGGACGCTGAAGGCAATGACTACTTTCGTTTTTCTGTTTCCCCCGTTGCTTCCGTTGTTCAGGGGAAGCGGGTAAGGGGAAGTCACTCAAGAAAACAATTATATCCGGGCACTGTTGATGACCCGTTCAAAACAAAAGTGGGCAAAATTCGGACTTCCGGCACGTCGCAAATTGACGACAATAACGGCGAATGTTAAACAGCCGACCGAAATCATAGATCTAGGAACCCGATGTTCCTTTTGCTCATCGCGGCTTTTGAAGTATTGAATAAACGACGATAGGCAAAAAGATTTAACCAGCTACGGTGATTCTACTGAAAAATAATGGTGTTTTCTAAAACACCTAGTCCGTGACGACACGACAGACGCACAAGTAATCCGAATTGTTCGTCTATTTGCAAACAAATAAACCGATTTCTTGGGCAAGTTAACCTTTCTCAATGACAAATAGCATAGGATCAAAGCACACGTAAAAAAAACCCACCCAAAAATACTAAATTTTGGACATTCTTGGAAGTTTGCATTGGTGTGCTCAAAATGACACTCCAGGAATCACTAAAAAACGAACATTTTTGGCACAAAATTTACAAACTCAAGATTATAAAGCTGACATGGGGTCTGAAACTGCTAATGCAGGTTCTACATCCTATATTTGACGTGTGTATACGTTTTGGAGGAATAAATACTAATGCATCACATTTTATGCACACTAATGTGAGATGTGTGTGTTTTTCCCCACGTTTTGGCAATGGCTCATATATATATGTATATTATATATATATATGTATATGTGTGTGTGTGCACTCTATAACAAGAATTTCATCTTGTTAGAGGACTATTATTTTCTGTCTGCTGAACATTGTGTGTGTCTTAGTTCAGTGGCCACCTCTTTTCAGTCTCACCAAAACAAATAAGAGACTAGTGAATGCTCTTAGCTAGAAAGCTACCCTATCTTGGATCTTTTATTATATTACTGTCTTAACAGTTTCACCTAGATTGGGTTTGTTACTTTGGGGTTTGTTCGTAAACAAGAGATTGACCAGCATTCTATCGTTTGTCATAATTGAATGCAAAGCATAGATTTGTTAATATTATTTTCACTCACTACCTTAAACACCTCTTCTTTTTCTTCTTCTTATTCATCTGTATAAATAGACATCCCTATCTATAGTGCAAAGGTTGCTGTTGGCCACAGATCCTCCAGGCTCCGGTAGAGCTTTGGGTCTCCCTGCCAAGGGTTGCACCCATATTTCCTTCTAAATGCCTCAAGCAGTGGGCGGGCTTGTAGTAAATGATTTTCTTCCTAATTGCTTTTCAGCATCACCGTTGATAACTTTTTGTAGTGCTTTTTTAGATTAATTACATTAAAATTTTATTAAATTTTTTGTAGCAGATAACAGTACAGAACTGAATTCAGTGCTCATAGTTGTATACTCATGGAACATTTTTTTTTAAAATCTCTTCGCTCTTCCTTTATTGCATGTACATTGGGGCTGAACAGAATGTTTAAATGTTCTTTGTTTATTCTTAAATCATGCTGAGCTAGAATTCCTTGTTCTCTACAGTTTGGATTTGTAGATGAGCTGTCATAGATATGTATTGTGGCAGAAGGAGACATTCATATAAACAAAAATTATGTTAGATAAGTTAATATATAATACATGTAATTGCAGTGTTTAAAGTTTTCATGAAATTGATGTTTTGCAGGTCCCTGCCATTTTTATTTCTCGCCTGGTACCTGGAGGCCTTGCAGAGAGTACAGGTTTGCTAGCTGTCAATGACGAAGTGCTTGAGGTCAATGGCATTGAAGTGGCAGGCAAGAAACTTGATCAGGTACCGATATCTCACTTTTACTGACCGTCTCTTTATACTCCGTTGTGATTTGTTGTTGATCTAATAGTATACTGGGTGGGTGGTTGACGGGTGCCCTGGTGTAGTTTGCTTCTTCTTTCCTATCAAATATCTATCGTCCTTGTCTCCCCTTCTTCTTTTTTTTTGTTTGTTACTCTCTTGTAACACCTCTAATCTTCTGGTGCTCATATGAACTTTTGCAGTTGCGAGCACTGTGAAACCTCTTCTAAAACTAAACATAGTATCCTGGTATTCCATCTAGCTATATGTGATGTTGTGTCTTGCGCTATGGGACTGTCACTGATATAAACAATCAGGAAGAGACAAGTACAGTTTCCCAGTCACTTGAATTGATATTGATGCCGTGAACTTCTTTTTCTCACTGGGAAAGCAAAAGGTATAAGAGGCAAAGGTAGACAACTACTAAAATTAAAATAACTTACGTGGAGAATTTGAACAGATGGGTAACAGGAAAAGACAAAGATAGTTTTCAGTTTGTTTGAGAGCATCCGAGCAGAGAAATGAGTGGCTAACCATGTTCGCAGATGTGTGTTTCAGATCTGGCATTTGAAGAAGTGTAGTGGCCATTTGCAGGGGTTTGGTTTGAACAACCGTTTGGCTGGTCAGTTTTGTCCATCAATATTATTTTTTTGACAGACAGCTATGGTCATGTCTGAATAACACATTTAAAACAGCCATACATGGAAAGGACTAAAGTAGTCCGGATAGATACCTGGAATACAGGCGGCAGTTTTCAGTATTTTTTCTTTGACCAATGCTACTTTTTTCCCGTTCGTGTATGGCTGATTTAAATATATTATTCAGACATGATCATTGCTATCTCTGATAAAAATGGTACTGATGGACAAAATTGATAAGTCAAACGGTTGTTCAACCAAAGTCAACTATTTTAGATTGTGACGAATGCCATTTTTTCCCCTGCAGCCTGCAGGGCTCCCCATTACGCGCAGATGTGCGTATATTACACATTAAACCTGCAGATTACCCCCTTTAAGTTTTGGTGATGCGTGGTGAGTGTCATTGTTAAAACATAGGTAGTGTATGTCAAGCAATCATCATTTTCCCCCTTCTCTGTCCCAAAGCTGAGTCAATGATTTTATATTGGCCCAACCACCACCAGCGTTCCACCCCAGTGAACACAACTGGGATATTACTTGTTTATTTCTTATTGTTACAATGAAACATTACAGTTAATTAAAAATCGTTAGCATTCAGTCAGTTATTGTCACTCTGTGTCTGTGCAAAAATTCTTACTATAAAATTAGGAAATAATTGACTTTTGAAGATTAGTTTGTCAGACATTAACCAACGACCCTGTAAGTTTCTAAAATAAGGATTTATATACCCCTTAAGATAGAAAAGTAAAGGGTGAAGGAACCTCTTACGTTGGCCTGAAAAGGGGAGCCCTGAGCCTGTATCTTTAGTTTCTTTTAGAATGGGCCAGAGTCAGTTAACTGTCTTCCACTGGAGGTTCTCCTGTAATCTAAGAATTGGAAATTCAAATTTGATGGATCTCAGTATGTTAACAGAATTGAAGAGATTTAACCAAACTGAGTAATCATCTTTTTCTAGTCTATGAATAACATTTTAAATTTCCTTCTGCTTACCTCTCAGAATATGTTTGAAAACTCATTACTTTGAGGTTTAATATACCATAGACTTGTTTGCCAATGGTATTTGCACCTTCGAGCAAACATCCATCTGCAAAACGGTCAGATGGGTCATTCAAACTGCTTGCAGAAGTGTATTTGCTAAGAATGTGAAGTATAGTTTCAGGGTATGCAGTAATTTTTCTTCACCTATACTTTCTTTAACTGTGCAGTTTTTTGTTTACCCCAGGTTACAGACATGATGGTGGCCAACAGTTCAAATCTAATCATCACAGTGAAGCCAGTGAACCAACACATGACCCTGGCACCTCAGAGGGGGGCTGTGGGTCGCCATAGCAACATGTCCTCCACCTCGCAAATTTCCCACCAATCTCAGGCTTCCAATATCTCTTACCATTCAGCAAAATCGTTTGACAATGAACCTGTGCCGGAAGTGGACGATGAGGATGAGATTCATGACCATCTGTCACCTACGGCCACCGAGCCCCCCACAAGTATTGGGGAATCATCCAGTAAAGACAATAAAAGTTCGGCGAGTGACCCAGGATTTGTGAAAAGTGAAAACAGTGAAAAGGGCGCATCCAGCAATAACAACAATGGAAGCAAAGCAAAAAGAGAAAAAGTGAAAAATTCTGAAGTTGAGAAAGAGAACGATGACCCTATTGTTACGCTGTAATTTGGGATTTTATGGTTGTGATCAGAGGCAGAGGGAATGTTCATTACTCTAAGCGAACAAGGTTGTTTCTGAGTTTCTTAAGTTCCTGAGCTGAGTCCAAGTCACACTGACCAGGTTGTGATTTTTTTTTCTTTTTCTTTTTCGAGGCAGTGAAATATATTTTATCAGTTTTTTAAATTTTAATATTGATATTTTAAGGTAAAGTTTCATTTTGAGTGGATCAAATACAATACTCATTCTTAGGAAAGTGATGTCACCGGTCGCGCGTTCCAAAGCAAAACAAATTGCATTTATTCTATATGTTTTCATAGGTTGAGAACATATTGCTCCTTTCATGTATCTCTCAATGTGAAAACTTTTCATGCTGTGTATCTGACTCTTTCAAAGGCTGTAAGGAAGTAAGTTGGTTTTTGTTTTGTTTATTAATGGTGGAGTTCTTTTTCTTGAAAGGACTGGTGTTTTCAAAACTTTCAAAGACCATGAGTTTTGATAACTTGTAATGATCAATTGAAGCTGAACCACGCACTAAGGATCACAGAAACATCTTTCTTATAGCTATTTGTGGCCTTGTTTCCAGTGGAGATGGGTCCTTGTTTGTTGAAGAATTGGGTGACTGTAAGAAGAGAGTAGCAATAATCTTTACTTAAAAGCTGTGTCTTCTGTCCTATCTTGTAATGCAATCACAACATGTAAAATGGATGCTTTTCTGGTGCAATTTTGTGCGAACAAATCCCCGCTGTTGTATATTTCTTCTTTTTTTTTTTTTTTTAATAGTCCAGTCTCGTCTGTCATGTGATCTTGAGACAAGGTGAATGCTTTTTTTATTCTTATATCATTAGACAAAAACCTAATCTATTATAGAATTCCTTTAAAGTGTCCACTGGTGGAAAAAAAATGAGTGAAGCTGTTTAGGGAAAGATAATCATAATTAATATAAGGTATAAAATTACTTGAAAACTGAATTTAGTGTGGCCTTTCACTTTTTTTTAATGCTTCAGAACTGTTATAGATAATGGTAGCTATGTTCTCAGCTATAATGAAGATAAAAGCTGTCACGTATTACATACACACACACACTGAATAGAATTTTGCCCTTGATACTTGTTGATTCATGTAAATTGATTTATACTGTCTTTGTGTACTCAAGTCTAAATTCATTAATTGTTACAAAAGGTAGCATGTTTTGGGGGTAAAAATGAATCTGTGTATCAACCTTCTATGCTGCATTTTGTGAGTTTGCTGTCTCTTATCTTTCTTTGTTAATTTTCTGTAGAGTGTACTTTTTTTTTACAATATGAAATTTAAATTGAGCTTTGTTTTCATTGTACACTGGTAGTGGGTAATTCTACACTAGTAGTTGGTATTGCAATTTATTGTAATGTAATTTGGCTTCTTTTTTTAGCAAATGTTTGTTGTATTTTGAGAAGTAAAGTCCCTGTCTCTGCTGATGTTGAAATGATAGTTATCTATTTTAACCGTTACAGCCCCAGTCATGTATATGTGAGGCATCGTGGTGGAATCAAGCTCTCGTCAAAATTATGAAATCGAAGAAACATTTATTTTGCCTGCAGTTTGGAAATTTTTATCGAATTTTTTAAATTTGGCTCAACACCTTTTATGTCCGTATAAAAGCATATTTTCATGTGGATTTTACTGAAAAACTTTGATTAATAGCACAAAATATGTAAATTTTCAGTTTTCAAGGACTCTTAATTTAAGCTATATAAGGTACACAATTTTGGCGGCCTTTTTCTTGATAATTTTACCTCTGAAATTATGCTACCCTCACCTCCCTCAATCGCAAATATTTCGACTTCTGTTCAAGTTAAGTGGATGTATTTTTCATAGAAAGCGAGGCAAATTAATAAGCTTTCAGATGTTACAAAAAACTCCACCTGCCCAAATATTGACGAGCGCCTGATTGCACCACGTCGCGATACATAATTCACTCATGAGTTTGTGTTTCCTGAGGCCTCTGTTACGTATACTTCCCGAATAGGGCTCTAGCCACCTCAAACCCTGTCGAGTAGTTTTACTATAATCTATCCATTTGCCTCTGAAAAATATTCAACATGTTGTCTTCTAAAACTTCAAACAAAAGCAGTAGTACAAAATTTATATAATGTCTGTAAAAGAATTGCAGACTCCTTCAGTATGGCTGGGCCTTAGGAAGAGAGGGCTAAAAAGCCTGGTGTTGTAAGGGGTTAGGATGTGTGGAATCGGGTTGAACTTTGGTCTTTTTCAGTAGAATTCTGGCAATGGTGCTGAAAGTGGTTGCTCTTTTGGTCGTAATGAGTTCTTGTTGAAAATTAGGGAAATACCTATAGATACAATTTTCTTGGTGAAATGAGATTAGTGGTATGCTTTGTTGCAAAAACTAGACCTAATTCTACAAAGAGAGAGAGAGAGACATGAATTTTCTTGGATATGCTTCTAATTTTTGTAAAGATGAACGATGGCTCAGTTCATTACATTCCGATCTTGGAGCTCACTAATTTACTTGTGTTAGTGATGAGATAGCTCGGATTGTAGAAAAGCCAAGGCGGGTCTGTAATTCTTCATTAACAATGTCAGACTTTGTTGGATGAGCGATTTACTGTATTGATTACAAAAATTATGAGAATTCAGTATTGCAAATGTATTTTGTTTCTCTTACCCTGATGCATTTATTTTAGGGACTTGTCAGCTAGTTTTTGTTATTTGAATGTAAGTGTAAAAAATGTAAGTAATCTATGTACTGAATTTAAAAGTTGTAACTGCACCAAACTACTTTGATCATTTCCTATCTCTACCAGGTGCTACTCGTCTCTCTCATCACTTTAACTTTGTCTCTAAAACGCCAACTTGCAAGCAAAAAGAATTGGAAGTGCTAATCACATATTAATTCTGTTGTTCTTAGAAGAAAAGCACATTGTACGAAATAGTAACCATGCGTGAACACATGTTACATTAAAACACTTTCTGTGTTGCATGCCCTGATTGTAGCAGAAAACATATCTGTTGTGGTCATGGTGCACCATGGGAAACTCCTTAGGGGGCTTGGGGTCTAGAAAAATGTACGTTGTTCTTGAGTGTATGTTCTATTCAGGTACGGACTGTGAATGTTTTCCTGTGACTTGTCTGGTTTCCGATGTAACGTGTACAGGGTTGTCTCCGTCCCACATTGGGGCCTTATTTTGCCACTGACGGTGTGTATAGTACATACTTCCAGTTGCAAATTGTTTCTTCTTTGGCAATGAGCTAAACTCATCAGGAAGGTTTTGTGTTGTGGAGGAAATCATTATGGCAGAAATATGTCTGATTGCCATAATCAGCTTTTTACTCCATAAGGGATTAAAGCAATGCTGTCAATTGTAAATGTCAATACCGGTACCTTGTACAAATTCCCCTTGCTTAAGTAAACCATGTGACTGAAAATTTGTTGTGAAAATTACTTTTGGAAGAGTTCGTCTGTTAAAGTAGGATGCATGACATTTATTCTGAAATTAGTATTTACAAGATCATAGACGTAGTGTCCAATATTATTAGAATTCCTCTTTATTCTCTTGGTTAGTTGGGTTACTCTCTACACTTGATAAATACCTTCACACAAATATACATCAACTACTCTATACTTCATAATAAGATGCCTGCAGTAGTCACTGCTATGAGCTATGCCTGTGTCTTTTACTTTATACTTTATAAACATTTGTTGTTCTGTCCTTTTCAATTCTTTTCTCCAAATTGGATTCAGGATCACTAGTCATGAGGTTTGAATGTTGTATTTGATGCAGGTCTTTCCCCCACCCCCCTAAAAGTCACACGTTTCTTGATAAACTTTGAAATCCGGAGAATGGAATTTTGAAATGGTGGGGGGGGGGGGGGGGGGGGGGGGATATATGTGACAAGGTGGAATCAGGTGTTCGTCAGTTTTGGGGCATTTACTGATTTAGGGGTTATTGATACAATCTTAGAATCTGTTCTTTTGCCTTACTTATAATGAAAAAATACCCATCTATCTTGAATATAAAAGAAGTGGAGATATTTGCAATTGAAGGAGGTGGGGTCACATGGTGTCAAAATTAAAATTAAAACAAGAAAATGGCTGGCAAAGTGTGGTGACTTCCACAGCTTGAGTGTCCTTGGAAATTGAAATTTACGTATTTTGTACCTTTAATCAACCTTTTTAATTTCTTTCTTTCATTTTTTGTTTGTTTTGGTATGTGTTTTACGGCACTGTCAACTGCAAGTAAGGTCATATATATGAAAGCAACGGACACGTTAACATTTTTAGTTGGCAGGAAATTTTTTATTCTGCCCGGGAGGCGGCCGAAGCCTACTCTTAATGTCTTATCGATTTTGGGACCACCAAGGGATAGATCTTAAATTGCGAATGTTACACAGGGGACCTGGAAGATTTTTCGCCCTTATTTGATAAGGCCAGGTGTTCAGTCTTACCCACCCTAAGATCAGGGGTGTAGCTGAAAGACTGCAGGAAGAAGGAGCCAAGGAGTAGTGGTTGAAAAGCTGCAGAAAGAGTCAGGAGCTCAGGGGGGGGCACAAAGTGGCGATGAAAGCAGACGACAGAACATAATTAGAGAGCAGGAAAGGAGGTGTAAGGGGAAAATTTTCCGTCGCTTTCAGATTTCAAACACGAGACCTATTGAATGAGAGGCTAACACCATAACCTTTAGACCACAAGAGCCCCCTCAACATTTTTCAGCAATATCCACTCCAAAATACGTTTTTTATGGACATAGAAGGTGTTGAGGCCCCCTAAAGAAATATGATAAAAATTGCCTAACATGTGAAAAAATGATGGTTTCTTCAATTTCATTATTTGACAGACGCCTGATTTCACCAAGAGACCTTGCATATCAAAGAGGTGGGATAGATTCTTACTGGATGCTTGTCAGTTTCCTTTTTTCCCTAGATTTATTCTTTTCTCTTTACTGACCATGTGTAGTTTGCGCCTCTCACTTTAGATATTGATTTCCTGCTTTTAGATCTAGTAGTTATTTTCTAAAAATACAGTGTCAGCAGGTTTTGGGTATGGTGGTATTTTAGTCCTGGGCTCAATTTGAGTTCCCTTAAATGACTTCACTGTGTTGATAGTTTTTGTTAGATTAAAAAGTTCCAGTATGGTCGGAAAAATATGAACAGGCAATAAGGATTTTGCCTACTATTCACACCGAAGACTTGAGTTGTATTCCTGAGTGAGAAAGCATTGCCCTTTTTTCTTCCTGCTGGGATGCCATATCCCACTCAGTCGAGATTGGCCTCTTAAATTATTTAAATTGTGTCAAGAGAGGTGTGAAACTTTTGGAAGAATTCGTCTGTAGAGGTGTAAAATCTTCCCAATAGTTGTATGAATTCCATTCTCTTCGAATTAATTATTCAGTTTGAGGGAGTGGATAGTTTTTCTGTGCTCTAGTTCTTTTTTTATTTATGCTGTTCTTGGCAGAGCATAGACATTGTTGTGCTGTCTAACCAACCATTGATTGCAACTCACCATACAGTTAACTGCTTTTTAAGAGATGGAAGTGGAAAAGTTTTACCTGCTACAGAATATATGTCGGTTGGGATCTAGGCTATTTTGTACTCTTGATATTTGTTCATTATGTTCCCTGAGGCCTGCTTTATGTCCATATGTTGAGAAGGTGGCGGGGCATCCATGGGTTTTTTTTTATTTTAACTATTTGGAAAGGCTACAATGAAACAAAAAAGCTCAATTAAGCGTTGTGACAATTCCTCTCTTTTTTTTTCTTTCCTTTTTTGTGGTGTGTGTTTTGCCAACATTCCTGAGTTGTTTGTTTTTTCCTGGTGTTTGGTTTATTTTTTGTACTACACTGCTGTGCTCAGTAACTCATCTCAGATGGTTCAGCAAATGTGGCTCTGAGAGCTTAAATATATGCAATCATGTGTCATATGTGAAGAGGTGCTGGTTAAATTTGTTATTCTTTCATTTGTGAAAAAAAGAATGTCAGTAGATAGAAGCTCATTTTCTGGACTCAGTTTGTCTATCAAGTGTTCCAAGGCACCATGCCACAAATGTTAATTCACCAACATCTGTGGTGTAACGGTTAGGCGCTTCGCTGTGGCATGCAGGAGACCAAGAGTTCGATTTTGGAGTATCTCAGGTCTTTCTGCTGGGATGTTGCATCCTTCTCAGCCAGCATTGACACTGATAGGCAAGAGTTGGAAGCCCTCCTCCTAAATGATCTAAATTATGTTGATAGAGGTGCAAAAAAAATGTTAGTTCAAGTCATCACCATGATGTGCTAGCAGTTTTTAAAAAAATAATAGAGCTTACATTAGATATACAGTCTGCTGTTTGGACTTTTATTGGGGGGGGGTGCTCACGAACTTCGTGTTTCATGTAAGTCACAGGCTTCTGTCCTCCGTATCATTCAAACAGGTTATCGCTTCTGGTTGATGTTCTTGTCGTGTTATTATTGCATGCTCTTCCCGCACCTTACAGTCAAAATCATGCTCATTTGTTGTCCTCATTCCGTTGATTGTGAGGGCAACTGCTCCTGTGCCTTGATGTCCCACCTGTCTCGAACTTTT